GGATTACAAGGTACTCTTTTGTAAAAAATTGCGGACTATACGGGGTCTTAGGCAGTGCTCTATAATCCGAAAAATTCAATAGTCCGACACTGCCCTGCATAATGTTTGTCGGATTACCGGAGGTCCACTGTATATCGAATCACATTTTTTAACCAGTGCTAAAATCAATAGTTCTTCCGACAGCGGACTATGTTAAAGTGCGTTATGAAATGTTGAGCGTAAGTTTTTGAAAAACTTTACAAACTGTTGTACCAAAATTTGTTTTTTTAATGAAATTACATCGATGTCTCTAACTGAAAATCTCTATACAATTCAAAAAGCATACAGTTTTGTTCAGCAGGGGGCGGGGCGTGTACCTTGAAATGTGCATATTGAGCAGGATTTTGTGTACGTATTTTCAGGACCCAGTTCTTCAAATGTTTTGGAGGCAGGTACAGTAGGTACACTTCACAAAAGGTTGTCTCAACGATACACCAACCGCCTCCCTGTGAAAAATCCCTGCGGGCGCCCATCGCGCATGAGTAGTAAGGGAAAAGTCGTAATAGAGAGGTTAAATTTGTTTCTCAAAATGAGTGGAGAAGCTAAAAACAGTCTTCAACTTTTCATTAACATTATATATGGGTGTAACAACTAAATGACCTGTAGTGGGTGGTGGCCAATTTACATAATTCTTTAATACCGTTCAACTGTTTTGTTCGTGAGATAATGCAATTCTTCATGTGGGTTCCATAAGTTTCATTAATTGTAGTTCTTGATTCTTGAGGTTTATTCTATCATCAGTATTGTGGTGAAACTCTTCCTTGAAATGATTTTGGTTCTGAAGCAATGTTTCTTTAGGCTATTATGTTCCATTGTACAGGATGGCCAACTAAAAGCGCAAGATGCTTCCTACTTTATTAATAGGACTGTTTTACTTCGGTTTTTAGCCTCAATTGATGTGGTCTGACCATCTTTTCCTTGGTAGTCCCACAGATCTTCTTCCATTTGGCGATTTGTCTCTTGCTATTCGTACTGTTCTATTTTCTGTCGTTCTTTCTATGTGTTGATTCCATTCTATTTTTCTTCTTTTGGTCCACAGGTTTATTTCCTCTATACCACATCTGGCTCGTATTTCCTCACTTCTTACTCTGTCTCTTAGAGTTTGGTTTGTTATTTTTCGTAAGACTTTCATTTCTGATGTTTCCAATAATCTTTGTGTTTTCGCCGTATCTGCTCTTGTTTCCGCTGTGTATGTCATTATCGGTCTTACTGTTGATTTATATATCCTAGTTTTCGTTTTAGTTGTGAGATATTTGTTTCTCCAGATTGTATTGTTGAGACATCCTGCTGCTCTGTTCGCCATGTTCACTTGTTTTTGTACTTCTTCTTCCACTTTTCCATAGCTTGACAGTTCGATTCCCAAGTATTCCGTTTCCATCACTTGTTCTGTCATTTTGTTATTTACGACCAGTTTACATCGTCTCGGTTCCGCTAACATCGATTTAGTTTTCTCTGTTGAAATGTTGTGTATGAGCGCCGTATCTTTATTCTTTAATCATTGTAGATCATCTTCATTTTCGGCTATGATTATGGCGACGTCGGCGTAACATATTATCTGCATTTCCTTTTCTCCCATTCTATATCCTCTTCTTTTTTTAACTTTATTGGCCCATTCTTCTTGCCGGGACGACTTGACGGACAAATTTACCTCAATTTTCTTCAACAACAGTTGCATTTGCTGCTTGATGGTGTTCCGTTAGTAATAAGAAACAATATGTGGTGCATGCATGATGGTGCACCAGCGCATTTCAGTTTAGCGGTTCGTAATTATTTACAAACTGTTTATCCAAATCGTTGGATTGGCCGAGGTGGGCCTCAAGAAAGGCCACCAAGGTCCACAGACCTCATCAGTTTAGATTTCTTTTTGTGGGGCTATCTTAAGACACTACTGAATACAAGTCCCATAAACACTGTAGAGGAATCAAGAGAAAGAATTGTTGCAGCTTGTGATAGAATAAAAAACACTCCAGGGATATTTCAAGGAATGCGCAATTCCATAAGAAGGAGGGCACAAGCATGCATACTAAGTGAAGGGGGCCATTTTCAACAATTTTTGTAATCATTTCGATGGTTTTAGTGTTATGTTTATGTTGTCAGTTGTTGTTGTTCACTACCTCTAATGTGTTTAATTTTTCCATTTAAATTAATAATAATTTTGCAGTTTAGCCAATAGAGCCGTGTTCATTTTTTACTCAAAAATGGCGCATCGAAGAGAAACAATTCAAGAGAGATTATTTGTTTTAAATTGAACGGGGAATTTAAAAATAACTCATTTGGCAAAAAACCATTGAGGTACCATTTTTTTTCTTAAATACAGCAGACGCTCGATTACGTAAACACGGGATAATGAAAACTTGCGCTAATGTAAACACAAACTTCGTTCTATAGGATCAAACGGAACGCGCGATAACGTAAACAATGTGTACGCTCGATAACGTAAACAACTCTCGGCGCACGGAAACAGCGCGACGGTAAAATGCTGAAGCCTCGATGATTTATGTCGGGCGTCGGGGAGTCCCCGATTTATGATGTAGAGTGTAGGGGATTCACCTCTGCGATAAAATACGACAAACTCGGTCAGTCGTATGATCGTTTAGGATACGTTTATACGTACGTATGTATTTCATTTTTGAACTTAAGTGCATACATTGCACGCGTTAATATATTTTACGACTATGGCATCCACATTCTATAAAAGAAAGTGTTTAAAGTTGAGTGAGAAAGTGAAAATCATAGATGAAGTTGCACTAGGTGCGGGAGTGACACAGTTAGCAAAAAAAATATGGAGTATCGAAAGCAATGTAAAATTAAGCATATGAAAACTCAAATTTTACAAAGAACGTGCAATACATTTGGAGGTTCGGGAAAAAGAAAAACTTAAAAAAATGCGAAGGCACCTAAAATGGAAAATTCCCTGTATAAGTGGTTTTTAAAACAACGGGAAAATCATGTCCCAGTTAGTGGCGAAGTACTTAAACAGAGAGCGAGACTGTTAAATGAAAAACTGAAAGAAACTGAAAACTTCGTAGCTAGTGATGGCTGGCTCAACGATTCAAAACAAGATATGGAATTCGACTGCTGTCTATATCTGGTGAATAATTATCAGTACAATCACAATTAGTGCAACCATTCAAAGAAAAATTGATGACAACAATTACCGAGCTAAATTTAAGAATGGAACAAATTTACAACGCAGATGAAAGTGGCCTTTATTGGAAAATGTTACCAGAGAAAACCTATGCTGCATCATTTGAAAAATCTGCCCCGGGAAGAAAGCCGGAGAAACAACGAATAACGTTTCTAGCCTGCACTAATGCTAATGGTTCACACAAAATAAAGCCACTGGTAATTGGGAAAGCAAAAAATCCGCGCTCATTTAAAAATGTTAATATCCCTGTTGATTATGACTGTTCAAAATCCGCTTGGATGACTAGCAGTATATTCCTGGAATGGTTCCACAGGTGCTTTGTCCCTCAGGTATGACAATCAATTATCACAAATGCTCTATTCATAATTTGAAGATGTGTTTTCAATTTGTAGGTAAAGGGTTTCCTAAAACAACAGAAGCTTCCAATAAAAGCGTTGTTACTATTGGATAATGCACCAAGTCTTCCTCCCGAGCAACAACTGAGGAGCAGGGATGGGTCAATTTTCGTCATGTACATGCCGCCCAACGTAACACCGTTAATTCAACCGATGGACCAGAATATAATAAGACTCACCAAACTATACTATAATAAGTTTCTACTTTCGTCTGTCTTATCAAAGAATCCTGAAAACCTATCCGAGGCTTTAAAAAAGTAACATTACGAGAAGCTGTTTTAGATTTGCATATGGTCTGGAATGAACTTAACCAGCAAACTATTTAAAAATGTTGGAACAATCTCTTTTGTACCAATAATGAAGATGAAGAAGAAGACGATGTCCCCTTAAGCGTAATTAGAGAACGGTTGCGATCCAATAATGATAATGTTATTAGTGTGTCATTGGATGTTATTGATTTATTGAAAACATTGTTTGTACTCCTGCTGATATTAATTTATGGAACGAAGATAAGCAGACGAATGATGCTGATAAGGAGGAGGATATGGACAGTGAGGATGATGAGAACGATCCCATTGAAGTCAGAAGTGCAGTGACTGACGCGCAAGCTATACAAGTTTTTAACCAAGCTATAGATTGGGCTGAAAGAAAAGAAGTTTCATACACGGATATTTTAGTTCTTCGTAAATTACGGGCGCAGGCATTGGAAGACAATGCTAAGCGCAAATTTACGCAGACAAAAATTGTTAATTATTTTTCTTCTAATTAAAAAAATACTTATCGCTGTTAGAATATTTGTTTATTTTGTTATAAATAGTATGTATTGAACGTTTATTTTAATAAATCAAATATTATATAAATCACGTTCGCTAATGTAAACATTTCGATAATGTGAACCACACTTGGATTAAATTAGTTTACATTATCGAGCGTCTGCTGTATATCGAAGTCAATACCCGTACGCACGCTTCTGTTAAAGCTAAAAATTATTTTTGCATTGAAAAATATGCAACTTTATTAACTTTCACTACGTGCTAAATATCAGTGACATATCTGAAGCGGTTCAGAATATATTAATTAATTTCCATTTTTTTCCTAAAACTTCAACACCTCGAGTTTTTGTAAGGAAACATTTTTAGACCATAGTTTATGAAACAAACTAACATTAATTTTCCATGTAGATTCATGTAGAACACCCTGTATAGTACAGTCAATTTCTATGTTCCTATATCCACTTAGAAATCTACTCTAAATTTTTGGCGTACTCTATATCCGCTTGAAGAAAAAAATATCTGTATCTCGAACGCAAAAAGCATTTATAACTCTTGGCTTCTAAGACCGCTTCACACCGCAACCTAAAAACGACCACTTCACAGTTTAGATACGTAAATAACTATTATATTTATTATTTCTTCCAGATCTTAGGAATCATAGTAGTAGGCCTAGTCAGCTACTATGTCGACAAATACCACAGATACATCCAGACTCCTGAACTGTTCTACCTGTTGATCGCCGTCACCTTCATGATTGGTACATTCTTGTTGCTCCTCGCATGTCTGATCTCAATATCCACAGCATCGATTATCTCGAAGACAATTTATGTAAGTACTGTTACAATTTCGATTGACTAAAAGTTAGGTCATTTCTAGATATTCCGCTTTGCGTTTTAACATTGACTCAAACGCGAAAAATATGACAATCTCACAAGTATTGCAAACAACTTTTATTCGTAATTTGAAATGACGACAAATTGTATAGTTTTTGAAAAGCTTCGAAAATCTTTTAGATTTCCGAGCTGCCCGCCAGATTTGTCTAAAGGTTTCAAATGCACACAAAGTGCCGAGAGTTTTGACAGTACATGACTTTAAACTTTGAAGTTGAGTCATTAATTTTCAGATAATTATTGTAGAAGGAAGATAATCCAAAATATGTGTGTAAAAATAAAGAACAAATAAAAAAAAATGTTACCTTGTTTTATAAAGTATCCTCCCGACAACTATTTCAGTACGGACCTGTATTTGATCGTGCGGTCTTGGAGCACCGGCATGCCCTCCCCTGTGAGGTCTTAAGTCACCTGATTCACGAGCCCTTTGTACTACATTAACAAAGGCACGAGGGGTTGGTTGCACTCTATTGGGAAACCGATTCGCATAAATCCGTTATGCCGCGTAAATAAGAATCAAGTCCACAAGTTCAGCATTTTCGTAAACATGTGCCATTTTTGATTTCGTTTGAGCCACGCAACAGACACCACTATTCACTCACGCGTTACCGACTGACACTGACTGTATACAACTGAATAAAATAATTGTAAAAACATCGTTCCAAATTCTTTCGGTTTTTTGTTTCCGATGCGATGAACCGATAAGGCGGATTACATCCGTTGTTGCCAAACACGAGCACATAATATTATTATTGAGACAGGGCGGTACTCAAACTTCCAAAGGGCTATAACTTTGTTACTTTAATTTTACCAGAAAAATGGTAAAGGAAAAAAAACATTTCTTTTGATCAGATCTACTCACTGTTAAAATAAATGACTCAACTTCGATAGTGCTCGTAGAATTATGTATTTTTAAACAAATTTTTGTATCTGGTACCTTTTATTTTTTTGGGAGTCCCCCAGACCTTCCAAACGTAAATCCTGAATCCAACAAAGGTGTTTTTATATTTTGAATATCATTAAAAGTTACAGTATGCTTTGTTATTAAATAATGCTAATAAGTTAAATCATCATGAAACTGATAGCCCGAAGAGAATGAGTGAATGCTAAAAATATTTTCATTGTTTCATAAATTCCGAAAGCTGCCTATCTTTATAATGTTTGAATAATTTTGTTATGGCTGATGCGTGCGGCAAAACATACGTTTATTTATAAATAATTTATTATTAAATGTTACTACAGGCAAAAAGAATGCATCGCTGGGAAATTCTTACATTATGTCTATTTTTGAATCGATATGTACGAGGCGAATTGATAAAATACTAGAATACTAATGGGAATAATACGTTTTTGAATAAGTAGAATAAGTTTTTTCTATTTCGTTTAGGTATTGTCGTGGTATTTGCGTCAAATTCCAGACACTATTGAGGCTCTACTTTTACTTCTAGCGCCAATGGGATATTTTTCAAAATTTGTATTCAGACGATATACCAAAAAAAAAGTGTTCTGAATATTTTCACCTTTTCTATGAAGGAAACGTATTGTATGGTTGCTTCTTTTTGATGATTGAATCTTAAGAAATTTCAGGTTTATAAAAAGGATGATAAAAAAATAATTTGCCTGAAATTTCATAGAATTCAATAAGAAGATATAACCTCAAAATAGAGCACTGACACTAAGCAGTAGAAATATAGAAATACCCATCAAGAAGGTCATCAATGCGTCCAACAATTATTGTAAATATACTAAGTGACATATAAATCCGAACACCCAGTTTAAATGGTTTTATTTTAATAAAAGTTGGTGAATGTATTTATCTTACTGTAAATAACAAGTGAACAAATTTTCAGCCTTATCAGTTGGACATTCCGGTTTTTATACTGCTTTTTTTAATTCACTAACGCTCTAAAAATGAATATTACAGTCGCAGTAAAGAACCAACGTTGGCGGATTTTGGTTCTTGACATCCTTTACGATCGGTTACGATGCCTAGAGTACGGAGACCTGTTCGGTTTCGTCAACTTAGTGAGTTTGATAGGAGCCGTATAGTGGGACTTCGGGAAGCTGGACTTTCTTTTCGGGCAATTGCAGTTAGAGTGCAAAGAAGTGTAGACACTGTGGTTAGGTGTTGTCAGGCATGGCTTCGAGAAGGCCGTACGCAAAGAGCAAGGGGCACTGGACGCCGCCGTAGAACAACAGACCGTGAAGATCGCCGCCTAAGATTATTGGCCTTAAGGGACCGTTTCTCCAATGCCAGGTCCACTGCAAATGAATGGTTTGCAGAACACGGAAGACCTTCTGGCATGCGCACGTGTTTACCGACGAATGAGAAGTTTTGGTTTGTTTTCATACCGGCCACACTGGGTCCTCCCTTTAACTCGAGAACACCGTCGTAATCGCCTTGAGTGGTGCAGACAACGGTCACTCTGGGATCAGGAATGGAACAGTATTGTCTTTAGTGACGAGTCTCGATTTTGTTTAGGCATGCACGATGGTCGTGCCAGGGTTAGAAGGCGACGTGGTGAAAGGAGGAATCCACAGTTTTTTGTTGAAAGACATGTTCATCACACTGTTGGAGTTATGGTTTGGGGTGCTATAGCTTATGGTTCCAGGTCACCTTTAATCTTCATCAGAGGTAACATGAACGTGCAGCGTTATATCCACGAAGTTCTAGAACCCCATCTTTTACCCTATCTTGACACCCTGGCAGATCCAACTTTCCAACAAGATAATGCCCGACCACATGTTGCAAGAGTCACAATAGACTTCTTTCATATAATGATGTCACATTGTTACCATGGCCACCAAGATCTCCCGACTTATCCCCAATTGAGCACGTGTAGGATATGACGGGTAGGAGATTGCTCAATTTGCAACGTCCTCGTCAGACTCTAGAAGCACTTCGAGAGGAGTTGGTGGTTGCCTGGAATGAGATACCACAGGAGGATATTGAACACCTGATCAGAAGCATGCCTAGGCGCGTTGTAGAATGCTTAGCACATCAGGGTGCATCCACACATTATTAAAGATCAAAGGACTTTAAAGCAGTGCAATCATTTTGAAATTTTTATCATTTACTTATTATGCTTCATTAAGTACTTATACAAAATTTTATTAAAATAAAACCATTTAAACTGGGTGTTCGGATTTATATGTCACTTAGTATAATTAGTTACTAACTGATTTCTCGATCAGTCGGCATCGTTGACGACGGGATTCAAAAACTAGTGCTACTATTTGATAGATGCTTGGAAGTTTATGGTGGCCTTATCGAAAAATGTTTATATTTTAGTTTGTGATGCAATTTACATTCATAAATAAAGTTTCTCTGACTTGAAAAAAATGTCCCTTATATTTCTGCTATACCTTAGTCCAAAAGTTGATAGTTTGCAAGATACAGGTTGTCAAAGTTACAATTTTATTTTCTATTTTTCCTTATTTCTTGAGAAGTATCTCAGATTTTGGCATAAAACTCGGTATGGGGAGGTTTTCTAGTATGACAAACAAGAATCGCTTATTCTTTATGGCCAAACATACAGCACTTTTTCTGTAAATAACTTATAACTTTTTTATGCTATCCTGTATACAACAACTGACCGAAAATTCTCATTTTCTCGTATTTCTACAACAAAAAAGGTTTACTTGTTAAAGGTGTCTAAAGCTAATAGTTTTCGAGATATTTGTTTATACATCATTTTTATAACATAATAATCAAGTTGCTTTGGATAATATCTGATTAGCGTGGCTATGGTTTCTAATGTTTGTCATGATATTGCTTAAATTATTCATGAAGTTTAAAGCAACATTAGAAACCATAGCAACGCTACTCAGATATCCAAAGCAGCTTGACTATGTTATAAAAATGTTTTATCATCATTGTACAAATAATGCATTAGAACTTTTAAACACAAATATCTCGAAAACTATTAGCTTTAGATACATCTAACGAGTAAACCTTTTTTGTTGTGGGAATACGGGAAAATAAGATTTTTCGGACGGTTGTTGTATACAGGGTAGCACAAAAAAGTTATGATAAGTTATTTACTAAAATAGTGCTATAAGTGGCGCCCTCTAGAAGTTTGATCATAAGAAACAACAGATTCTTGTTTTTCATACTAGAAAACCTCCTTATACCGAGTTTTATGCCAAAATCTGAAACTTTGCAAACTATCAACTTTTCGACTAAGGTATGTTTAGGTCAATTCACATATTTTGGTCTGTAGTATCTCCAGTTTCGAGATTTCACAACCTTGCGCAGACGAGATTTTGTTTTTGTGGAAGGCATCCCATTACAAAAATCCCAAACGTTTCCTACTTACTACAAGAATTGAAGAAGTAGTATAATTTGCTTCTCTCACATTGTTTTAATTTTGTCGATGTCACGTTTTTTTTTTCTTTTTCAGGAAGTGATATATCACGGATTCGCATTTCTTTTGTACCTGATTGCCAGTCTGGTGTTCATAACCGAAGTGAATCACAACAAACGATCGAACTACAGTTATGATTACGAACCGTATCTCGCCGCCGCGGTAAGTACATAGCAGGGAATAGTTCCAGGAGTCCTGATATTCTGTCAGCATTTAAATGGGATTGAAGAGTCCTCTTATACAGGTTGTTTCAGTTTACTGTTGCATAACTTTAAGATTCGATAGAACTTTTAAAATTAATGCATAAAGTCTATATAAACATGGGTCGAAAAATGCGTGGCTTCCGAAATACAGGGTGTTTAAATTTACTTTTTAAAATAGTTTTTCTTAAATATTTCGAACAATATTTGATGTATAACAGTGAAAATTCGTATACAAGGGTTTTTTGGTACGACAAAACGAACCATAGACATAGTTTTACTGTAGCCGCTAGAGGGCGCTCTCTACTGTACCTGTAGTGTATTAAAATGACCGAAAATTTGTTCTTAATGCAATTTTTTGCTTTTTGAATAAAAAAATTGATTCTTCGCACTTTTCAACATAAAAAAGCTCTCCTGTGAGTTTTCGTTATAGTTAGCCGTTTTTGAGATACTTCGATTTTTAAGGTTCGATGCATTTTTAATTATTTATGGAAAAATAATATTTTTTTTTTATATTTTCGATTTGGGCATTACAAGTAATTAAGATGATCGTTTGGATTGTGTTTTTAAACACAGCAATAATTCCTAACTCCAAATAAACACACAAAAAACAGAATATTAATTTGTTTAATTTTCCAATATTATTTTTAACAAATTAAATTAATTATTTACAACTAAAATGCTATTGGATAGTTAGGACAAACATACAAAATCTAAAGTAGTTGCTCGAAATGTAAACCCAATTGTTCAATACACAATTCACATCGACGAATGATCGAACGTGGTATAGCATTATTCAAATAAGGACTTATTTCATCACATGCATTCCTGTTTCTGTCTATTAGCATATCTCTTGTGGTTACGGGAGTCTGGAACACTTTTTCTTTTAGAAATCCCCACACAAGAAAATCTAATGGATTTAGATCAGGGGATCGTGGAGGCCAGGCGACTGGTCCTCCACGGCCGATCCATCTTTCTGGATAATTTTCGTACAGCCAGTTTCTAACTATTCTCGAATAATGAGCTGGACAACCATCAAGCTGGAACCAGGCCAATCTTCTTAAATCTAATATGACATCATCCCACATATATGCATATTCAGCCTTTAAAAATTCCAATAAGGTCGCAGCATTTAACCTTGCAGGCAAAAGGTAGGGTCCAAATAGTCGATTACGGTAGATACCAATCCACACGTTCACACTAAATTCATGCTGAAAATTTCTTTCCCGAACTGCATGCGGATTTTCATGCGACCAATTTATCACTCCACATCTAGTGAAGCATGAGTCATCGGTCCATAAAACGTTACTTAAAAACTCCCTATTATTATCAGTTCTATCAAGAATCCACTGACAAAATGTGATTCTTCGTTCTCCGTCCCCTGGTTGTAGTCCTTGCACAGGTTGCAAATGGTAAGGACGTCTATGGTCATTTCTAAGAACGCGGTGAATATGGCTTGCTGAAATTCCCAAGGCACCAGAAACTCTCCTAACACTTGTGGTCGGATCTCTATCAAACAGAATCATACGGGTAAATCTGCGCTGACGAACATTTATGTTTTGATTCCTTTGGAGATTTCCAAAACCATTTTCAATTATTTGGCGATGCACTCTTACAAATACTGAGCAGTGGCGGCTCGCCCCATGACGCAGGTGAAGCGCTGCTTCACCTGCAATTTCAAAAAAAATATATTTTTTTTATTTTGAAATTTATAAAAAAAATTCATTTATATCTTAAAAAATTATTTTTCGGACATTCTTTATTTGTATTTGCGATCAACAGAATACTGAGAAACCCCGCAAAAAACAACGCGCCTACGTTTGCGCTTAATTTGGCGTGTTGAAACAGAGACCTGAAGCAGCTTTATTTACACCGCATTGCTGCGTCCAGTACAGATACGAGCAAATACGACGGTTGCCATGACAACGGCACGCGCGCTTCCGTTTTGGCCGAGGCAAGTGAAGCAAATTATGAATTTGCGTCTAGTCTGCTCTGCATTATTACCGATATCGTATTGTGTCGAGGTTAGTTTTCATTGTTTTGAACAATGTTTCCTGTCTATGATACGGTTTGTGTTATGTTGGAAAAATCGTTTTCTCAATGGAGTAATGATGATAAAAAAGACTTTTTAAACTCCGAAAAACCTTCTCCGATATTAAATGTAAATAAAACCGCTAAAGTTAAGGACAAAGTGTACAGTCGAAATTTTTAAAAATCGTGGTATAGTGAGTTTGCATGGTTATGTGGTAGCTATTATTTAAATAAACTTTTTTGTGTGCCGTGTTTGATTGTAAGTGTTAAAGCAACCGTGTGGAGCAAGTACGGTTTCAATGATTTCGGGAATGTGACTCGTGCTCTTCGTAAACATGAAGGATCATCGGATCATATGCGTTGCGCACTAGGTTTTTCAAAATTGAAGAAAAATCTCACTACTATTGAGGATGCTTTACGCGAAAATTCCAGGCTGTATATTAAACAGTTTAACGAAAACGTGCAACTTAATAGACGTTTCATGGAATTGCCAATACGCGCTGTCCTTTTTTTGGGCAAACAAGAACTGGCGTTTCGTGGCCACAACGAAGAGACGACTTCTATTAACCGTGGAAATTTCAAAGAGCTCCTAGAAGCATTTGTATCTATAAGCCCTGTAGACATTCAGGAGCACTACAAAAAAATTGCCTCAATATTTGCGGGCAATTCTAAAACCATTCAAAACGAAATTATTGACTGCATTGTCAAATGCATTGATGAATATGTGGAAAATGAAATAAAGGAATGCAGTTTTTTTTCCATTCAGGTGGATGATTCCACCGATATTGCCCACAAATCGCAGTGCAGCATAATAATCCGTTATGTCAATCTTGAAGGAAAACTTGTGGAGAGATTTTTAGGATTTCATGATGTAAGCTGCAGCCGAACATCTGAAGCATTATTTAACCTCGTGACAAGGTGTCTACAAAATTTTGATTACAAAACAAAACTCGTTGGACAATGTTTCGATGGTGCAAGCGTCATGTCCGGACAGTTAAATGGTCTTCAGGCTAAAATAAAGGAACAGGCACCCCAAGCAGTTTTTGTTCATTGCCTCGCACACCGCATGAATCTAGTGTTACAACAAAGTTGCAATAGTATTACAAAATGCCGCATTTTTTTTGCAACTATAAGTGGTTTACCGACATTTTTTCACCATTCTCCGAAACGAACTAACGTAGCAGACTCAATAATAGGACGTCGAATACCTGTTTCCGTTATTACGCGATGGACATCAAATTCTAAAGTTATCAGTTTTATAAATAAGGAGTGGGATTCCTTAAAGCAAGTGTTTACTGAAATTATTAATGATCCAACCTCTGATCAAGCCTCGGTTAGACAGAGCGACGGATTTCTAAATAAATTCCATGACTTCGAATTCGTGCTTTTGGTTGTTGTTTTTAACGAGATCTTTGGAATGACAGATATACTATTCGACACACTGCAAAAAAAATCTTTTGATATAAACCTTTGCATTAAGCAAATTAAAAGTGTTCAAACACAATTAAACAAGAAGAGAAATGAAGAAACATTTAAGAATATTTTCGAATTGGCTGCATCAAAAACAATTGTACAAACGGAACACCGCGACGGCAGGACAAGAGTAACATTGTCTCGGGATCAAATTATTGAAAGATATAGAGTGCTGTATTTTGAAATTTTGGATACCATTTCTCTGCAAATCACGACCCGTTTCCAAGATATGGAAAAGCTTCATTTTGTGACGTTAATGGACACTTCGAAGTTCAAAACATATTCAGAAAAATTTCCAACAGAAGCCCTAAGTAATTTGAAGGAGTTTTATTCAAATACATTCACAGATTTTCAGCTGATCTATAGCGATGATCAATATCAAAATATGGAACCCCGCTTATTAAAGGAATCGCTATTTGAGAATCGCAGTATCTTCAAGGAGGCATATAAGCTTTTGTGTTTAATACTGACCATTCCATCAACAAGTGTTTCGACAGAACGCAGTTTTTCATGCCTTAAGCGAATCAAAAGTTATCTACGAAGTACCATGTCGGAAGATCGGTTGACGACCTTGGCAAAAATATCGATCGAAAAAGAATTATTAAATGAACTGATAGTGTCACAGCCGTTTTACGATGACGTTATAAATAAGTTTGCTAATTTGAAGGACCGACGAATTGCTCTCATATATAAACAATGAAAAGTGCCTGATAATCCTGACTTTGTTTTCGAGTTACTGAATTTAGGTAAGTTATTTCATGTTTTTTTTTGTGTATGCGCTCTACATGGTATGGGGGGGGTCGGTCAATCCTGCGTCACCTATTTGTAAAATCACGAGCCGCCACTGATACTGAGCGAGTTGGATGTCGTCTGTTTGGAAATCTTCGTTCGTGTTCTCTGGCTGCTTCTGCTGCGTTTCCCTTTACAAAGCCATACACAAAATGAATATCCGCTAACTCTTGATTGGAGAATAAAAATGGCATTTTTATAAAACTTACAAAAAAAAACAGGTAAAAGAAACTAAATTTCGTGCATTCACAATTGCAAAAAAACGTTTCAGGTTTCAAGAGACAACAAAACTAACTGTCGACTAATTGACGTTTAACCTTATTCTGCTTTCAATTACAAAAATATTTGCAGGCACAGCCTACTTCTAAAAATTATCGAGATACTGACTTTTTAACGTTATTTTATCATAAATAATTAAAAATGCATCGAACCTTAAAAATCGAAATATCTCAAAAACGGCTAACTATAACGAAAATTTACAGGAGAGCTTTTTTATGTTGAAAAGTGCGGAGAATCAGTGTTTTTATTCAAAAAGCAAAAAATTGCACTAAGAAAAAATTTTCGGTCATTTTAATACACTACAGGTACAGTAGAGAGCGTCCTCTAGCGGCTACAGTAAAACTATGCCCATGGTTCGTTTTGTCGTACCAAAAAACCCTTGTTTACCAATGTTCACTGTTATACATCAAATATTGTTCGAAATATTTAAAAAAAACTATTTTAGAAAGTAAATTTAAACACCCTGTACTTCGGAAGCCACGCATTTTTCGACCCATGTTGATATATACTTTATGCATTAATTTTAAAAGTTCTATCGAATCTTAAAGTTATGCAACAATAAACTGAGCACCCTGTACAAACTTCCGTCCTAGGGCCTCCTACAGGAGCTTTGTAGATGGATAGCTTCCCGGTACTTACCAAAATCGCTCATCATGGAAACCTTGCCTTGGAATGTACGAGATGCGGTGTTGCCAAGCGAATCAATCACGCAATGTTGCAGAACTTGGGGCGAACCTGAACTTTCATTTCGACCTAAAATCGAGCGTCAAGCTTAAACTAATTGATTCTTCTTAATTCTCATTCGTTGTAATAAGAATGGTTACGATTGTATGATCAATGAGTTCACTTATTCGTGACCGAGAATATTGTTTTTATAACGAAAAAATGCAATTTGATATCAAAGCGGAAAGAGATTTCTCGGTTTCCTGAAAGGGTGGGGGTTCTTTATTTGCTAGTACACAAAGACCTTAAAATTGACACCTTCAAAATGGTCTTTGGAATACGAATTTTCCCAGTAAGGTTCTACGAAAACCTAGTAAAACATATACTTAGTAACATTAGAAGTGTTACCTAAAAAAAAATTCTTCAACTTGTTTTTTTGGACTATATTTATGGAATGCTGTGGCAAAAATGGCAACATTTTATCTTTGTTTTTGTTGCCTCGAGTTCGAAAACGTCCAAATTATCGCCATGTTAGCGACTTTGATACGGGTACAATCATTGCCTATAGAGATGTTGGTTTGTCTCATCGCGGAATTGGCCGCCGTGTTGACGGTAATGCGTGTGTGTCGTGTGTGGATAGAAGGAAGCGGAAGAACATGACGAAGGCCAACTGCGTACTACAGAACGTCAAGATATTGCCTACTTCTTTTTGTTCAGGGCGATATGACTGCTGCCCGTTTTGTTGATGATGTTCTACAAACCACTTTACTGCCGTATCTAGAGCGCCGTCCACACGTCCTTTTTCAGCAAGACAACGCACGTCTCCATATTGCTCATCGTACTGCTGACTTTCTCCAAAAAGCAGGCGTTAATTAACATGTGTGGGATATGATGGGGAGGAGACTATCCACTTTCCACCATCCGCCACAGATTTTGCCACAGGCTAATCCGCGAAGTTCAAGTTGCTTAGGATGAGGTGCCAAAACCAGACATCGGTCATCTCATTTTGGCGATGCCTGGACGTATACAGGGGTGTATTCAGCCCAACACATATATAATTTTTTTTCTGATTAATTGTCAATAAAACTTCGTGCGAATATTGTCGTTTCATTCTTGATGTAAGACCTCGTGGCTAAAAAATCAAGTTGAAGAAGTTATTTTTACTATTGTCACTGAGCATATATTCGTACACTCTTTATAATTTCTTAAAGGACTTTCCGATAAAGACGAATTCGTATATTTAAATTTGTTTTTTTTTTTCAGATAATCGGCCTGGTCATCTCCCTGCTCTATCTATTGAGCGCAGTATTCGCACTGAGAAGTTACAGAGGACTCTAAAAATATCAAAGCGTCGTACAGAAAGTACTTATTCGGCTTAATTTATTGTATTTATTAGTCGTTTAACAGTCATTTTACAGAAACTGAACACTCACAATCCGTCGTTATTTTTGTTACCATATCGTTGAATATCACATAATTTCTCTAGTATAGAAGTACGAAGTTTTGGGATGGAAGAAGCAACCCACAGAAATGTCATGAGTATACGACGCCAAAACTTAAAATCTATAAATCCTGACACATTTTTTGTCGAGCATATTAATTTTTTATAATACACGATTTTCGGGGGTGCAAGTGCTCTTTTTGATATAATATTATTGTGAATGTTTTACATTGCCGCAGCATATACAGGGTGTTTCAGTTTATTGTTGCATAACTTTAAGATTCGATAGAACTTTCAAAATTAATGCATAAAGTCTATGTAAACATGGGTCGAAAAATGCGTGGCTTCCGAAATACAGGGTGTTTAAATTTACTTTCTAAAATAGTTGACTTTTTAACGTTATTGTATCATAAATAATTAAAAATGCATCGAACCTTAAAAATCGAAATATCTCAAAAACGGCTAACTATAACGAAAATTCGCAAGAGAGCTTTTTTATGTTGAAAAGTGCGGAGAATCAGTTTTTTTATTTAAACAGCAAAAAATTGCACTAAGAAAAACTTTTCGGTCATTTTAATACACTACAGGTACAGTAGTGAGCGCCCTCTAGCGGCTACAGTAAAACTATGCCCATGGTTCGTTTTGTCGTACCAAACAACCCTTGTATACCAATTTTCACTGTTATACATCAAATATTGTTCGAAATATTTAAAAAAAACTATTTTAAAAAGTAAATTTAAACACCCTGTATTTCGGAAGCCACGCATTTTTCGACCCATGTTTATATAGACTTTATGCGTTAATTTTGAAAGTTATATCGAATCTTAAAGTTATGCAACAATAAACTGAAACACCCTGTATAACAAAAAAGAACCTACAATAATAGACCTTCAATAAATACTCCAAGGATTCTCTGAAGGTAATTTAAGACATATATTTATTCATTAATACGAAAACGGTATACGCGTTTAATGTTTTACATATGTAGAAGTGGTAAACTGTGTAGTAGAATAAAGCAGTACAGGAAATTTATTTTTTGTCTATTTCTGCATAATAAAAGTAAAAATTTCATCCATCGTCTATCGGAAATTTTCAGTCTATTTTCTATAAACGACTACAAACACAAGAGATCTAAAACACATATATCGAAGAAAACTGATAAAACCGTAACTATTTTTGTAGAAATATTTATGGGATGAAAAATTTCAAAATGATGGAATTTTCACTCTAAAACTAAAAAATAACCGTTTTTGTATGTCTCAAAGTGTATAGCAGTAGTTGGATCTACGTTAGAAAAAAGCTGCCATAATATGTATTGTATAAATGTGCCTTAGGTGTCTGATGCCTTTTTGACATTTATATATTTTTTTATTTATTAACATTATTGTGAGCCATGAATATTTTTTGTTATTTTAATAATAAACAGTTTAACCGTTTCGTTGTTTTACTGCGACCATCGAAAGTTAATAGTCAATCGTTTACAAAATATATCGTTTTTAACATTTACAACCTGTTTTGAAAGCTGCTAAAGGATGTTCACTTCTATAATTTTATCGATGTTTTGTGACTGTGGAATAAAAAACGAAATTTTGCTTGCACTAAGTAAACCTCGATCTTTTCAGTCTCCATAAAAACAACATGTAGTAAACATATTCTTTATTCAGTGTAATTTTTCTTACAAAAGGATGCATAATGGAAGTCAATGTAAATTCATATAACGTAACATGATCAGCATTTCCCTAAGACCATAGCAAGTAGGGCCATCCTAACATACATGCCGTACTCTGCTTGCCTGAAATAAGCCGCTCTAGGGTCAGAGTCAAATTCTGTGCTGATTTCGAAGACTCTCGGTAAAGGATGCATCACCGCCATCTTCTTTTTGGCTCTGGTCATCAGTTTTGGAGTCACAATGAAATGTCCGCAAGCCTAGAAAAAAAACTAGTTTATTCGCAGACTATAACAAGACAAATTAAAAGGTTAGAATGCTAGGCACATAACCTCCCTAACAAAGTACAGTCTTGGATCCTATCTAGTCCCGTTATATATTATGACCTTCTGATTAAAAGAACTCACAGACCAAACTTCGATAACGGATAGTTTTTTATTTCCATGGTATAACCAGAAAAACTGAAAGGTTAGGAACGGTTCTGCAGATGCTAGGCCCATAACAAAATAAAGTCTTGTTTTCTATATCGTTTCATTATACAGGGTGTCCGCAAAGTTGGGGTTTTCCTTTACACGACGTGTAGATCTTGAAAACATAAGCAATTTTTCTTAGTACCATATACACCAATGTCTTAAGGGAACCGAGATAAAGGGCTCTGCAACCTCAAAAATATTTGAATACCATCCTGTAGCCGCGACATCACCGACTGGTACAAGGTCACTGGCTCAACCCAACGACAGAACTGGGTCGGGGTTAGTGTGTCAGGTCAGTATGCAACCGACGGTTACGGTCACGCGTGTAGAGGCAATCGCGTAGACGAGAATCCCTCAACAAGCACTAGAGACGTGGCTAGAGAAGCGCAAGTATCAAAAACTAAAGTGTGGCAAACGCTGCGTGAAGACGGGCTGTATCTGTTTCACGTGCGGTTTTGTGAGTGGTTATTGCGTCAACATGACAATAATCAGGACTTTTTGAAGTGCATATTGGTGACAGACGAATCTACGTTCACGCGTAATGGGGTGAACAACTTTCGCAACACTCATGTTTGGTCAGTAGAAAATCCGCACGCTGTCCGTCGGGCACATTTTCAACAAACATTTTCGGTGAATGTTTGGGCTGGCATGGTGAACGGTATGCTCATTGGACCATTTATTCTCCCAAATCGATTGGACGGGATGCAATACCTAGATTTTTTACGCAACATTTTGCCTTCCTTGTTAGAAGATGTGCCATTAAGTGTACGACAATCAATGTGGTTTCTGCACGATGGTGCACCGCCCCATTTTAGACGCGAAGTGCGTGAGTTTTTGAATGAATTATTTCCGAATAGGTGGATCGGACGTAATGGACCCGTAGCGTGGCCTCCGCGATCTCCAGACTTAACACCATGTGATTTTTTTCTTTGGGGAGAAATGAAACGCTTAGTGTACAAAACTGAAATGCATACGGTTGACGAACTTCGTCTCAGAATTGAAGAAGCTGGTGCTTTCATTCGGGGGAGGGACTCCATTCTCAAAGCCTGCACCGATGCTTGGCTACGTCGTGCACGCACCTGTGTTTTTGAATCAAACGGCGATAACTTCGAACAATACCTATAAAGTACGTTTACCTAAAAACTGAAAACGCGGCAACGCCGTCTTTTGTTACCTCTGTTCGTGGTCTGCACCACCGCCGGCGTCTGCTCGGTAGCGCATCAGCTGATTTCATTTTCTGTTGGAGCGGTATGATTTCGGGCAGAGACGTACTTAGCCCTTCTCGTCAACTGGAGAGTGAGTACTTTTTCCTTTATTTTTTTTTACTTGGTCGCGCTCGTTTCATTACACATTACCTTTGTTATTTCAAGGGTAGTTGTTTCTGAAAAGGAAAACCCCAACTTTCCGGACACCCTGTATATTAAGACCTCCTGATGAAAAGGCCTCACAGCTCAAACTTCGATAATGGATAGTTTTTTTATTTACAGGATTCAACGAGAAACATTGAAAGGTTAGAAATGGCTGTGTTCATGCAATGCACATAACCTCCCTAACAAACTAAAGTTTTGGATCCCACCTCGTATATTATGGCCTTCTGATTAAAAATCTGCACAGGCACAAACTTCGATAATGGATAGTTTTTTGGCTATCAAATGTCAAACCAAACCCACTGTACCCCCTCTCGCGTACATTTTGTGAATCTATCGGAAAGTTTCGTATTGCAAGTAATCCTGTCTTACCCTTTCATATTCCTCTTGGGTTTCGAACCTCTCTCTCTGAATTCTCGTCATATACAATACGTCTGTATCCGGCAAAACTTCTTCTAAGCTGCTGTACTCTTCTTGTGATATTCCGTGTTCTTTCACGAAATCTACTACATGGCTAGGCATTCTTAAGGATGGAGGACTGACATATCTGAAATACAGAAAGTCTATTAATCCCTATTAATATTATAAATAAGAAAGTGTTTGTTGCAGATATTTATTTATAGTCTGGAATAGTACATGGGTTTTTCATTCCGGGAAATAACTTTCAGACGCGTATTTGATGGGATACGGGAATTTGAGATGAGTTGTCTGATATGGAAGCACTTCATCGCTGGTCAGATCGAAATGCCACGTACCGGATTTCAACATTCATTTTCTCAACACACGAAATTCGTTTTATTTCACTTTTAACACAAACGCAAAAATAGCAGCAGTTTCAACACAGAAGCTTGCTGTTTTTGGTCCGATTGGCATAAAAATAAGACGCGTGCAATTTCAAGGTTAGTTTTTTCATAAAAATGTCGTGGATGTTATATTACAAACGCCACCGGTGGTGATCCACCGGACTAACGTCTCGGCCAGATGTTTCAATTTAAAAATTTGAAAATCTTGAAAACCGCGGATATTTTGAAAAATTCAAATTTTCGATATTTTCAGTTGATAGTTTCAAAAATATAGAATTTTGTTTAATATTTTTTAAGTTTTCAAAAACTCAATGTAAAAAATTTTTAATATCGTGAGGGTTGATAAACCCTTGAAGATTAAATGAATAGTAACATACCCCTAACTGATCTTCAAGTGAATATTTATCATTTGCTCACAGCAACAGTTCTCGTGACGGATTTTCAATTTATCAATTTACAAATTTTGTAACAAGTATAAGTTTTGTAAATTTCAAGATTTTAATATTTTCAATTAATAATTTAAGAATTATAGAAAATCTTAGATATTCTTAAAATGCTGGATATTTTGAAAATTCTGAAAATTTTGATGAAGAAAATTTTTAATATTTTGAAAGTTTTGAATGATTACATGCCGATTGAGGGTTGATCAATTCTTGGAGGTTAAATTAATAGTAACGCACTCCTAAGTAATCCTCACGAGAAGAGTCATCATTTGCACACACTAACAGTTTTTATCACAGTTTTCAGATTTTCCATTTAGAAATGTTAAAATCTTGCATACCCTGGAAGTTTAGTAAATTTGAAGTTTTCGAAATTATTAATTGATACATTTAAAAATATACAAAATTCTGGAAATACAGAAAACTTTCAAATCCTGAAAGTTCTGAAGATTCTAAAAATTCTCAAGATTCTCAAAATTATCAAAATTCTGAAAATTCTAAAAATTCTGGAAATTTTGAAAATTCTGAAAATTCTGAATATTCTGAAAATTCTGAAAATTCTGAAAATTCTGAAAATTCTGAAAATTCTGCATAGTCTGAATAGTCTGAATAGTGTGAAGAGTCTGAAAAGTCTGACAATTATGAAAATCAGAATATTCTGAATATTCTGAAAATTCTGAAAATTCTGAAAATTCTGAAAATTCTGAAAATTCTGAAAATTCTGAAAATTCTGGAAATTCTGAAAATTCTGAAAATTCTGAAAATTCTGAAAATTCTGAAAATTCTGAAAATTCTGAAAATTCTGAAAATTCTGAAAATTCTGAAAATTCTGAAATTCTGAAAATTCTGAAAATTCTGAAAATTCTGAAAATTCTGAAAATTCTGAAAATTCTGAAAATTCTGAAAATTCTGAAATTCTGAAAATTCTGAAAATTCTGAAAATTCTGAAAATTCTGCAAATTCTGAAAATTCTGAAAATTCTGAAAATTCTGAAAATTCTGAAAATTCTGAAAATTCTGAAAATTCTGAAAATTCTGAAAATTCTGAAAATTCTGAAAATTCTGAAATTCTGAAAATTCTGAAAATTCTGAAAATTCTGAAAATTCTGAAAATTCTGAAATTCTGAAAATTCTGAAAATTCTGAAAATTCTGAAAATTCTGAAAATTCTGAAATTCTGAAAATTCTGAAAATTCTGAAAATTCTGAAATTCTGAAAATTCTGAAAATTCTGAAAATTCTGAAAATTCTGAAAATTCTGAAAATTCTGAAAATTCTGAAAATTCTGAAAATTCTGAAAATTCTGAAAATTTTGAAAATTTTGAATATTCTGAAAATTCTGAAAATTCTGAAAATTCTGATAATTCTGAAAATTCTGAAAATTCTGAAAATTCTGAATAGTCTGAATAGTCTGAATAGTCTGAATAGTCTGAATAGTTTGAATAGTCTGAATAGTCTGAATAGTCTGAAGAGTCTGAGAAGTCTGAAAAGTCTGACAAGTTTGAAAAGTCTGACAATTATGAAAAATCAGAATATTCTGAATATTCTGAATATTCTGAAAATTCTCAAAGTTCTGGAAGTTCTGAAAATTCTCAAAATTCAGAAAAACCCGAAACTTCCGGAAATTCCTAATATTCCGAGAATTCAAGGTCTGAAAATTCTCAAGATTCTGGAAATTCAGAAAATTTTGGAAGTTCTAATAATTCTGAAATTCTCAAGTTTCTCAAAGTTCTAAAGATTCTCAACATTCTGAAAATTCCGAATATTCAGAAAATTTCGAAAATTCTGAAAGTACTGAAAACTCTAAATATTTAGAAAATTTTGAATATTTCAAGACATTGTGAATTGTGAAGACTATAAAAATCTTGGTCATCCCTCAATCGGCAACTTGACACTCAAGGGTCGACTATAAATATGGGCCTTTGACAATGAAAGAAACTCACCTTAGTTGTACGTTGTACAAAGTCAGTAATCGAGCCAAAGAGTGAACAGTTCTTCCATTTTTGAGATCTCCAACCAAAGTGATGTTCAGTCCGTTGACGGTACCAATTTCTTCTCGAATTGTGAAAATGTCCAGCAACGCTTGACTAGGATGTTCTCCAATGCCGTCTCCAGCATTTATAAGGGGTTTTCGGCAGTGCTGTGATGCTTTCTGCGAAGAAAAGAAATCAAATAAACATAGAAATAAGACAGCACTTCCTTCCTACTTCTAAATTTTCAGTTGGCGGTATTTTGGCATTTCAAGCTGATCTAGACTCGATTTATCATGTTATCAAACAACAACAAAAACGAAATAACATAAAGATAACTCTCACCATAACTGATCCTGGTGTTGGATGTCTGAGCACGAGCACATCAGAGTATCCCGCCATTACGGCAATAGAGTCTTCCAAAGTCTCTCCTTTCTTTACCGACGAGCTGGTTTCGTCCATGTAAATCACTCTGCCTCCCAACCTCTGCATGGCAGCTGCAAAGCTGCAACTTGTCCTGGTGCTCACCTCGTAGAATATGGACGCCATGATTTTACCTTAAGTCAACAGAATCAATGGGATCAGAACTAAGATTGAACGGCTGGGGGCAATAAGGTAGCGTCCTTGGGTTAAGCATATTTAGAACAACTTTCTGGTACTAATATCCAAGTAATTCAGCAAACTTAAGTGTTTAGTCTTTTACCATAAGATGAGAAATTCGCTTTTCATAGAATCATTCGATTTACCTCTTAATATTTGATCCAAAGGTCGGTCTTTCGCGGTATACACCCTGAGCGTTTGAGCCAAGTTGAAAATGTCGTTCAGCTGCTCCTTCGTAAACATATCAACGCTAAGGATGTGCTTTCCAGTCAAACCGTGGTGAGGATGCGACTGGGTGATGTCGATTTGGCTGCCAGTCTTTTTGCGTTCAACGCTCGAGAAACTTTCTGTTCTGAGCCTTGGAGGAACTGGAGACAGTAGTCTGGTTTCTATGTGTGGCTCTTGACCAAAATGCACCTGGAATTATTAACAAATGAGGCTTATACCAAGAGAAGATGCTTCGTGGGATGTCTACGGCACAACCTGGTCAAAAATTCGTATTCCAGTCAAATTAGGGGTTTGACATCGGATTGAGTAGATTCGTGGAAACTTTGTCACTGTAGCATGAGATTCTATGTGGGATTTAATTTTTATATATGTGAGATCACGTTAAAGCATACCTTGTTTCCTGTAGATAGCAATTTCAAGAAAATCTCGTTGGTCTGCCCATCATCGTCGTCCATCTGGTGAGGAGAGGGGGAAGCAGGCCTGTCAAGTGCCAATATCGACGGAGGACGTGAGTCCAATGGATTTATCCTGAGCTCCCATTCTCTGACGTTCTGACCAAAACCTGGTTGGACGAGAACTTGGCCTTCTACGTAAGCGATTTCGCCTCTGAGGACCACCCTGTGGACAGCCCCTTTAATCTAAAAGAAAAAAGTATCACGAGTATCCACGCGGTAAAATGACAGCTTATTATCTGACGACTCCGTCATTTTGTACTTGCTAATAAGTCTTTCATTTAAAAAGTAACGCTACAAGTAACATGGTAGGGATAAAATAAGATAAACAATTCTGTTAATCTGTTAAGACCTGTCTCCAGGGGGTTACAACTACAGCCGGCCTTCATCCATTTGTGTTCTCTACTTTATGTTCTGTGGTGCAAACGTCAAAACGCTAATCATAGACGAGATCATTACAAACGTGAAACTCTCCTCTCCTGTCTATTGCCTTATTATTGTCACATTTTTTTTTTTTTTTTTTTTTGGCTTTAGGACTAGGCCATGCAGCCAGAAACTAGGTTGGATATTTTATATATTTCTATAATTATGGACGACAAACACACGACGTCACAACATCCATGGCGAAGGCGAGATTCGAACTCGCGGCCCGGCCGGCCGGCTGATCAGTAGCACGACACTCTGACCAACGCGGCCAACCGAGGCCCCATTATTGTCACATTCAATTATGAGTCCTTAAATCCGTGCAATTATCCCATAAACAATAAGCGGCAACACTGCCAAAGGTGAAAATGTCAATTGTCAATGTCAAAAGTATCGCGACACAATGTGGACCACAGTGGCAGTAACATGCCTAGTGATTGTGGTTCGTTAACGAATTAGTTCAAACGATCTAACATATCAGCTACTGATGCTAATGAAGAAATTCAAACACGTAAATAAAAATGTAATTTATAACTTCAAATTCTGAAAATCCTGAAAATTCTGAAAATTCTGAAAATTCTGAAAATTCTGAAAATTCTGAAAATTCTGAAAATTCTGAAAATACTGAAAATTCTGAAAATTCTGAAAATTTTGAAAATTCTGAAAATTCTGAAAATTCTGAAAATTCTGAAAATTCTGAAAATTCTGAAAATTCTGAAAATTCTGAAAATTCTTAAAATTCTGGAAATCCTGAAAATTCTGAATATTCTGAATATTCTGAAAATTCTGAAAATTCTGAAAATTCTGAAAATTCTGAAAATTCTGAAAATTCTGAAAATTCTGAAAATTCTGAAAATTCTGAAAATTCTGAAAATTCTGAAAATTCTGAAAATTCTGAAAATTCTGAAAATTCTGAAAATTCTGAAAATTCTGAAAATTCTGAAAATTCTGAAAATTCTGAAAATTCTGAAAATTCTGAAAATTCTGAAAATTCTGAAAATTCTGAAAATTCTGAAAATTCTGAAAATTCTGAAAATTCTGAAAATTCTGAAAATTCTGAAAATTCTGAAAATTCTGAAAATTCTGAAAATTCTGAAAATTCTGAAAATTCTGAAAATTCCGAAAATTCCGAAAATTCCGAAAATTCCGAAATTCCGAAAATTCTGAAAATTCTGAAAATTCTGAAAATTCTGAAAATTCTGAAAATTCTGAAAATTCTGAAATTCTGAAAGTTCTGAAAATTCTGAAAATTCTGAAAATTCTGAAAATTCTGAAAATTCTGAAAATTCTGAAAATTCTGAAAATTCTGAAAATTCTGAAAATTCTGAAAATTCTGAAAATTCTGAAAATTCTGAAAATTCTGAAAATTCTGAAAATTCTGAAAATTCTGAAATTCTGAAAATTCTGAAAATTCTGAAAATTCTGAAAATTCTGAAAATTCTGAAAATTCTGAAAATTCTGAAAATTCTGAAAATTCTGAAAATTCTGAAAATTCTGAAAATTCTGAAAATTCTGAAAATTCTGAATATTCTGAAAATTCTGAAAATTCTGAATATTCTCAAAATTCTGAATATTCTGAAAATTCTGAAAATTCTGAAAATTCCGAAAATTCTGAAAATTTGGAAAATTTCGAAAATCTTGAAAATTTTGAAAATTCAGAAAATTCAGAAACTTTGAAAATTTTTAAAATTCTGAACCTTCTGAACATTCTGAACATTCTGAAGATTCTGTAGATTCTGAAGATTCTGAAGATTCTGAAGATTCTGAAGATTCTGAAGATTCTGAAGATTCTGAAGATTCTGAAGATTCTGAAGATTCTGAAGATTCTGAAGATTCTGAAGATTCCGAAGATTCTGAGGACTCTGAAGATTCTGAAAAATCTGAAGAAACTGAAAATTCTGAAAATTCTGAAAATTCTGAAAATTCTGAAAATTCTGAAAATTCTGAAAATTCTGAAAATTCTGAAAATTCTGAAAATTCTGAAAATTCTGAAAATTCCGAAAATTCTGAAAATTCGTCTCAGGTCTATTGCCTTATTATTGTCACATTCAATTATTAGTCCTCAAATCCGTGCAATTATCCCATAAGCAATAAGCGGCAACGCTGTCAAGGATGAAAATGTCAATTGTCAATGTCAAAAGTATTACTACACAAGGTGGACCACAGTGGCGGTAACATGCCTAGTGATTGTAGTTCGTTAATGAATTAGTTCAAACGAACGACTCTTATGACTGAAGTAAGGAAATGAATTCATCATTCACTTCGTGATTCAAGCGAAATAGTTATGAGTGAAAGAAGAACCAGATAGGAGACGTGAAACCACTGTAGGCAACCAAGTAACCAGAAGGATGTATTACTGGTTGCATGGATACGATCGTGGTTCAGTTCAATGAACATGACAAGATGGAGTTATTAAAGATGGTGTTAGTTACAAAGACTGAAGGAAATGAAAATTAGTTTTATCTAACATATCATCCATTGATGCTAATGAAGAAATTAAAATACGAAAATAAAAATGTAATTGATAACTACAAATTTCCATTTAAAACATGATTTTCTTAACTTTATTGACTTCTAGTCTATTACTTCTTTATGGCAAGACTTATGTAGCCTTCGAAAAAAGCCGCTCGCATGGCAGAGAGAGATAGAGAGAGAGAGAGAGAGCGGGAGGGGGGAGATAGAAAGAGAGATAGAGAGGGGAGGGAGAGAGGAAGAGAGGGAGAGAGAGAGATAGCACTAGGACAAGGTAAATACACAGAAAATTCTTGTCTTCCCGCTCTTCAATTTCCAATTGTCGGTGCTACTCTCCTCCCAATATCTAGCCTGGCATTTCATAGTTAGACACCTAGTTAATTTTAACTTTTAAGGGCAAGGTCAAAAGTTGGCCACCAACGTGACTGAAAAGCTAGCCAACCTGCTATGATAGCACCAAAATCTTACCTTCATTCCAGCGAAAGGCGTCCACTTGGCCTTACTGAACGGCATAGCCTCAGGGATGACCCATTCTTCGTCCAGATCTACCTCAACGTAAGTGTTTTGCTGGTACGGCAAGCTGAAGATCTTCTTCGGATTTTTATGGAATTTGTTGACCAGATCATCGATGGTCAACCGGCCTTCGTTGACAGCGTTGAGGAGTAGCGGAAGGATTGTTTCTAATCCTGGAAAACCTGGCGGTGCCTTTTCGCTAGTTTTTTCTTCTAGAGTGTGTGGTGCGTGATCGGTGGCGAAACAGTCTATGACGTGCAGGTGGTCCCATAAGGCTTGTTGGTCTTCTGGGGTTACCAGGACAGGACGAACCTAAACAGTAATAAAATCAATAGGGGACCCAAATTGGAACCCTGAGGTACACCACCACTTGACGTGTATGTGTAAGAACTAAACATATTATAGAATACATAGATCTCAAGTCTAGATAAGCTGATTTATGTGATGGCTGTGAAATAAGGCCTAGCTAAAGCTGATTCTTTCAGTATCCTTATTAAAACGTTGCAGTCTCATTTACGATACTCCGGCATTTGGTGTTCACCTTCACACGCTCACCTGACTCTTCTTCGGTCCCAACCTCTCCACATCATTGGTACTCAAAAACAAATGATGCGGGCACACCTCGCAAGTGACCTTCAGTCCTTTTTCCTTCGCCGCCTTGATCAGCGATATCTCTTCCTTTCTGGCTACGTGGCACACGTGTACCGACCTGTTCTGTAGGTTGGCCAGCAACAAAATCGCGGCCAGAGTTTCTTTTTCCGCGTGGACGCACAGCGGGGCAGTTCTCGGCCAGTTTGAGAGATGTTTGGTCCATACGTCCATGTTTTTGAGGTGGAGAGTGGTGAAGGTTTCGTTCAGGTACATTTTTAATGCGGCTGCATCGGCCGCGAATTCTGAGATTGTTGAGGTGTTCTCGGACGAGGCGCCTACGAAAAGGGCATAGTCGCATCTGAAATGATAATAGTCAAAATATAAAAGGGGTTTTTTGTGAAGCTTTGCAACGCATTTTCTAAAGAATCATCTCAAAGTACGTATTCCTAAGAGTCACTTAGTTGGAAGACACAAGCTTTTCCTAACTTACCTGGCTCCTTTTTTAGCGCACTTCTTAGCCAAAATCAGCGACTCCTCGTCAACAATAGCCGGATCGGTGTTGGGCATCGCACAAATAAGCGTGACACCTCCCGCCAAAGCGGCCGCGGTACAGCTGGAAAAGTCTTCCTTGTGCGTAGCTCCAGGTTCTCTAACGTGGACATGAGCATCGATGAAGCCTGGAAGTTTCAGGAGTCTTCGCGAACTAATGCAGTCCGTATGGGTTTTCATCGAAGGTGGGGTGGTTCCTATCAGCCTCAGAGCCTACCAAGTAATAGAGTAGAATTTGAGAGATGGCGTCGAGTAGATCGACTCTGTACGTATTTTGGACAAATGGACAGCATGGATCTAAGTCAATTTTTATTATTCGGCGACTGAGAGAAGTTCTTGTGCCTTGACATACAGTACATATATGAAGCGTACGGGAGAATAACTACAATGGTCCATCCGGACAGGTTTACTTACCTGTTGGAAAGTAAAATTGATGAAAAAATAAGTTGTAAAGAATGTCTTTGCTAAACTGTGTATTTATTGGTAATAGCATGAACTTTTACTCAAAACTAGTAACAAACAAAAGATGATGTTCAACTCTGGACTCGTGCCACTTTTCCGCTGCTTTAAGCGCCTATTGGCCGGTCATTGACATATTCACCATTGATGTCTTCTGGATGATCAAGAGATATTAACTGTTGATACAATGCCCTAGAATCTGCTCTCTCTAGAAATTTGGTCATATCCTGCAGATCCTTCCATTTCTTACTTTTAATTCGGAATGGATCCTGCTCCTGGTTTTCTCAATGGTTCCTCTTCTCGTTTTTGTTGATCTTTTTTAGATTCGTCCGAATTACCTTATCAAATTTAAAACTAGCATATCGGCCCATGTATGCTAAGTGACATATAAATCCGAACACCCAGTTTAAATGGTTTTATCTTAATAAAATGTTGTATAAGTACTTAATGAAGCATAATAAGTAAGTGATAAAAATTTCAAAATGATTGCACTGCTTTAAAGCCCTTTGACCTTTAATAATGTGTGGATGCACCCTGATGTGCTACGCATTCTCCAACGCGCCTAGGCATGCTTCTGATCAGGTGGTCAATATCCTCCTGTGGTATCTCATTCCAGGCAACCACCAACTCCTCTGGAAGTGCTTCTAGAGTCTGAGGAGGACGTTGCAAATTGAGCAATCTCTCCTACCCATCATATCCCACACGTGCTCAATTGCGGATAAGTCGGGAGATCTTGGTGGCCATGGTAACAATGTGACATCATTATGTTGAAAGAAGTCTATTGTGACTCTTGCAACATGTGGTCGGGCATTATCTTGTTGGAAAGTCGGATCTGCCAGGGTGTCAAGATAGGGTAAAAGATGGGGTTCTAAACTTCGTGGATATAACGCTGCGCGTTCATGTTACCTCTGATGAAGATTAAAGGTGACCTAGAACCATAAGATATAGCACCCCAAACCATAACTCCAACAATGTGATGAACATGTCTTTCAACAAAAAACTGTGGATTCCTCCCGTCACCACGTCGCCTTCTAACCCTGGCACGACTATGGTGCATGCCTAAACAAAATCGAGACTCATCACTAAAGACAATACTGTTCCATTCCTGATCCCAGAGTGACCGTTATCTGCACCACTCAAGGCGATTACGTCGGTGTTCTCGAGTTAAAGGGAGGACCCAGTGTGGCCGGTATGAAAACAAGCCAAAACTTCTCATTCGTCGGTAAACACTTCGCATGCCAATAGGTCTTCCGTGTTCTGCAAACCATTCATTTGCAATGGACCTGGTAGTGGAGAAACGGTCCCTTAAGGCCAATAATCTTAGGCGGCGATCTTCACGGTCTGTTGTTCTACGGCGGCGTCCAGTGCCCCTTGCTCTTTGTGTACGGCCTTCTCGAAGCCATGCCTGACAACACCCAACCACAGTGTCTACACTTCTTTGCACTCTAACTGCAATTGCCCGAAAAGAAAGTCCAGCTTCCCGAAGTCCCACTATACGGCCCCTATCAAACTCACTAAGTTGGCGAAATCGTACAGGTCTCCGTACTCTAGGCATCGTAACCGATCGTAAAGGATGTCAAGAACCAAAATATTCATTTTTAGAGCGTTAGTGAATTAAAAAAAAGCAGTATAAAAACCGGAATGTCCAACTGATAAGGCTGAACATTTTTTTACTTGTTATTTACAGTAAGATAAATACATTCACCAACTTTTAATAAAATAAAACCATTTAAACTGGGTGTTCGGATTTATATGTCACTTAGTATATGTCGATTTGTGAAAAACTACGCGAGGATTCTGTCTCCAAAACTTGAGCATCCTGACTGGGATAAAATGGCGATAAAAATGTGCTCCAATCTTGAAAATCAAAATTTTTTGCCACAATCAATGACTTCAAATCGTGTAGGTTTCACACGGCAGTTTTTCAATTCATCTCTCCAATCGTCCGATACCTCAGTGTATGCTCTTTGGTTCACGAGACTCATATCTCTATCACACTCGAGGTAAGAATGCCCCCTGATCGGGAATATTTCCTTCACAGTAGTAAAACGATTTTTCTTGGTAACCAAGTAATGCAAAAACCGAATGACTGTAAAGTTTTTATTTTGCCCTGCACAGGAGTCACAGAAAATGGCAAGTTATTTTACTTCCATAGGCAGGATGTTATAAAAAAAGTAATACAGCATAGCTCCTTTCTTAGCAATAGATTTATCGCAGGTATAAAAGATAGAATTTGAGTTTGACAGAATGTGGATGTTAAAACGCTTATAGTAAACTTCATTTGTCGTGATATTTGTATAGTGCAAGTTTTTTTGGTAATCCATCGTGATACTTTCGATAGCGGGGAACTCCGAGGCACGTTTGCGGTATGTTCTCTTTAGACTGTAAAATCGCTCACTCCTTTTTTGATGTAGTGTCTTCTCAAGTGTCTTTTTCTCGAAATTATTACTTGCTGACTGCCTAGTTTGTTCCGTGTGGGAATATAAGGTAGCGGTAATTGAAGATATATCAGCTTTTAAGGAATCACACGTACTACAAGTATCTTGTATATTGAAGTTGTTTTTGGAAGATTTCTCGGAAGGATTCATAGGAAATCTTGTTTTCAACATTGCCAATAGAACACATTTTGTGCAATTTTGCGATATTTAGATGTTCGGGTAGGTACGGCCGCCTTTCCATATGGACTGATGCCGTGTTTCCATACACGCGCAGGGACTCATGCCATCCTTTCCCGGCACAGGCAATCTTATAGCTGTTGTTTTGTGAATCTAAGCCCTTTTTACAATTTAAGAAGCTGATTACAAGATAACATCAAGAAAATACCTCCAAAATAAACTGAAAGCCAAATAATGGACTAATGCCGTTTTTCCCCGGAATCCTTCAGATGTTTCGTTTCCATTTAAAAAACTGAAGCGTAATGGAATATCTTATTTTTGGACCACCCTGTATTGAAAAGACGTCCTCATAGAAATCAGAATTGACGTGTCCGAGCGTTTTTCTCAAAATATACCAGGAGAGTCACAAATAGGGGTGCGATTTCTTCGTTGGGCCACCCTGTATGTGTACACACTTCTCTATCGTGCACATTGAACTCAAACTATCAAACAAATTTCGTTCTCAATGTATATATTTACCTCTGAGGCAGGCTAGGTATGTCCAAATAAGCAGTTTTGAGATAATTGCATTTGAGTTTTTTTGTATACTAAGTGACATATAAATCCGAACACCCAGTTTAAATGGTTTTATTTTAATAAAAGTTGGTGAATGTATTTATCTTACTGTAAATAACAAGTGAAAAAATTTTCAGCCTTATCAGTTGGACATTCCGGTTTTTATACTGCTTTTTTTTAATTCACTAACGCTCTAAAAATGAATATTTCAGCCGCAGTAAAGAATCAACGTTGGCGGATTTTGGTTCTTGACATCCTTTACGATCGGTTACGATGCCTAGAGTACGGAGACCTGTACGATTTCGTCAACTTAGTGAGTTTGATAGGGGCCGTATAGTGGGACTTCGGGAAGCTGGACTTTCTTTTCGGGCAATTGCAGTTAGAGTGCAAAGAAGTGTAGACACTGTGGTTAGGTGTTGTCAGGCATGGCTTCGAGAAGGCCGTACGCAAAGAGCAAGGGGCACTGGACGCCGCCGTAGAACAACAGACCGTGAAGATCGCCGCCTAAGATTATTGGCCTTAAGGGACCGTTTCTCCACTACCAGGTCCATTGCAAATGAATGGTTTGCAGAACACGGAAGACCTATTGGCATGCGAAGTGTTTACCGACCAATGAGAAGTTTTGGCTTGTTTTCATACTGGCCACACTGGGTCCTCCCTTTAACTCGAGAACACCGACGTAATCGCCTTGAGTGGTGCAGACAACGGTCGCTCTGGGATCAGGAATGGAACAGTATTGTCTTTAGTGACGAGTCTCGATTTTGTTGAGGCATGCACGATGGTCGTGCCAGGGTTAGAAGGCGACGTGGTGAAAGGAGGAATCCACAGTTTTTTGTTGAAAGACATGTTCATCACACTGTTGGAGTTATGGTTTGGGGTGCTATAGCTTATGGTTCCAGGTCACCTTTAATCTTCATTAGAGGTAACATGAACGCGCAGCGTTATATGCACGTTCTAGAACCCCATCTTTTACCCTATCTTGACACCCTGGCAGATCCAACTTTCTAACAAGATAATGCCCGACCACATGTTGCAAGAGTCACAATCGACTTCTTTCAACATAATGATGTCACATTGTTACGATGGCCACCAAGATCTCCCGACTTATCTCCAATTGAGCACGTGTGGGATTTGATGAGTAGGAGATTGCTCAATTTGCAACGTCCTCCTCAGACTCTAGAAGCACTTCGAGAGGAGTTGGTGGTTGCCTGGAATGAGATACCACAGGAGGACATTGACCACCTGATCAGAAGCATGCCTAGGCGCTTTGGAGAATGCGTAGCACATCAGGGTGCATCCACACATTATTAAAGGTCATCATTTACTTATTATGCTTCATTAAGTACTTATACAAAATTTTATTAAAATAAAACCATTTAAACTGGGTGTTCGGATTTATATGTCACTTAGTATATTAATTTCTCTGCCAATTATTGATCGATTCCAATAATTTTTTCACTGGTTTTATACTTCATCTATATTTTGCCGGTATGTCATTACATACGCGATTCTGAACATCAATAAACTTCTCCATTGTTAACATCTCCCCCCCCCCTGATAAACTCTACCGGACTTCCCAGTTATTGTATAATTTCGTTTTACCGGATTATCATCGAGTGATTCAATATTTCACTAACTGTTTAAAATGATTATTTATGACCTGTTTATATTGACATAAGGTAGTATATTGTTTTTGATCCCGTCAGCTTAATAAGTCCATGTAACGAAAGCTGACACAAAAATCTTCCGCACAGTACAAGGTTCAAGTTCATTTTTCATCATATTGGGAATTTTGCTGATATCATAGCGTTGCATATAACTCAAGCTTATATTTGCTGTATTACAGATATCATTTATTTATACCAACATTCATTATGCAGTGATAAGCAAATCGAGACTGATAAAAAATAGGGGGTAGATGACTGGCGAAAAATGAGATGATTTAAACGTAAAGGATCATTGACACACGGTAAGATTACAGTCTCGTAGAGAATTTTTTTGTGCCTAAAATAGTTATTCGTGCTTTCGTTCAGCTTAAACTGCTCATTGCAATCCATAGAAACCTCCACTATTTTAGATATTCGTCTGGAACACCAGGACTGTATGGAACCCACGCACTTTCGCACCGAATATTTCCAATTCGACCCTCATCATTGGGAACTCGGAAATAGTAAGATATACGAAATTGCTTAAATAGAGGAAAAGTTGCGTGTTTGGGTAACTGGCAAAATGCCGCTTAAACGTTTTGGAAATTTCGGAGAGGGAAGCGAAAAAACTGAATTTTCCCAAAACCGTTCTTGACTTTATTTGTATAAGGGTGTCAAAATAAATTACACATTAGCATTGCGACGTTTTCTCTTCTAGAAGATGGCATACAGTGGACCCCCGATAATCCGGCCCCTCGCTAATCCGGCGCTCCTTGTAATCCGACATGTCTTTGAATATTACATACATACGTATTTGACAATCTTCGCTAATGTAGATCACGCAGGTTTGAACAGGTTACAACTTGTACGCGCCACCGCTATCGTGCTCGACGCGTAAGCATTGTTTTACTTAGTTTGAATTTGACTACTTGTGATAGCGGTACGGCCTAGCGTGCGTTCATTGTTTTACTATTTATTCATTGTGTATTAAGTATAGTACCTAGTAATGTCATCACAAACTCAGAAGCGAAAGCACAAAACAGTGACAATTAAAGAAAAATGTGATATTTTAGACCGCTTAAATCGCAATGAAACTTTCAGTAGTTTAGCAAGTAAATACGGCGTAGGCCGATTTACAATTTATGACATCAAAACAAACCACGAGAAGATCAAGAAGTCCGTGTTAACTACTGACTGCGGGCCAGGCAAGAGACAGACACTCAAGAAAGCTGAACATCCAGAAGTGGAAGAAGCTTTGTACATGTGGTTTCTTCAGGAAAGAAATAGGCATGCACCAATTTCAGGACCCATGTTGGCCATGAAAGCTAAGTTTTTTTATAGGGAAATAAAAACAGACGATTTTGTGGCCAGCAAAGGATGGCTAGAACGTTTTAAAAGTCGGCATGGTATACGTTTAATGACTATTACAGGAGATAAACTTTCTAACGATGCCACCTGCATAGAGCCCTTTAAATTAAGATTTTTGCAAAAGGTGAACGATTATTATTTATTTATACGAATTCTTGGGATCGACGCGTTGTTGATTGTTTCGGATCGTCTCTCACACTTTCCTTCACAACAGCAATATTTTCCGGTGTGCGAACACTCGTTGGCCGGCCAGAGCCTGGCAGATTTGCCACAGAACCTGTTGCCTCGAATTTACGCACCAGACGACCGATCGTTGTTTCGTTTGGGCGGTTCTTGCGTCCGAAATGTTCACGAAGCGCGCGAAACGTGTTTTTTATTTTTGCACCATTTTTGTAGTGCTATTGAATAACTTTAATGCGGTCTTCAATCGAATACGACTCCATAGCGATCAATGGTAAACATTCAACTAACAAAATGACATGTCGGTGACAGAAAGCAAAGATGACGTCTATGTCAAATTGACGTTTACTTTCCTGCGTCCCTATTGGACAACCCTTTACAACAATCAGGAAAATAACGACGACGTGATTGCAACTGCTCCACAAGTCACAGCACAAGACGCAATTAACGTCTTTGAGCTAGGTTTACAATGGGCTGAAGAGACTGGTACATCCTACAACGAACTTTTACTTTTGAGAAGACTGAGGGACAAAGCTCTGATCTCGCGTTATAACAACCTTAAACAAAAAAAATTGATGAATATTTCCAAGCTTCATAATTTGATAAATTCATTAATAATTTTGATTAATAATTCTTGATTATTTTGGTACATATGTATGTGCATTTATGCTTAATTTTATAATAAAACGTAAGCTCTCTATTGTTATTTAATTTACTAAATTCGACATACATATACATAACATATACATATAATGTTACCATTGGATATGTAATTTGTCGGATTACAAGGTACTCTTTTGTAAAAAATTCCGGACTATAGGGGGTCTTAGGCAGTGCTCTATAATCCGACAAATTCGATAGTGCGACACTGCCCTGCATAATGTTTGTCGGATTACCGGAAGTCCACTGTAGTTAGAATATCTTACCATTTCTCAATGAGGAGAGTCGAATTTGAAAAACCTGGAATGTTTTATCTGAAAAATACAGCCTGACCTACTTACATTCCGACTTATTACTACGTAAATGTATTTTGCCTCCTACCTACTTCGAATTCGTAGCGGAAAACAAAAATTCAAGCAAACACTTACCTCAACCAAAAGCTTGGTACATTTGACATCTGTCACTAACGGAATCGAGTAGTCTATGGCCAACCTTCTGGTTCTGTATCCGTGGGTCATGAACGAGGACACCCTCCTAGCTCCAGCGTTACGCATCGGCAGGTTGATCACCAGATCGAATTGTTTTTTCGACAAAAATTCAGCCAACGGTCTCAGTTCGCCTTGACTGGTTATGGTGTCTATGGTGTCGAAGGTCCATTGGACTGATTCCACCTGAAGAAAATAACAAAAAACATCGTCAAGAAGATTGTGTATGGTAACAATATTGTTCAAAATAACTGTTGCTGTTCGTTTTTGTCATAAATAAATAATTTAGGTATTTAACTGGGCTTCAAATTTTTGTTTCATAAAATGTTACATATTGTTAATAATAAATTCTTTGTTGTTGTATAAAAATTTACTAGAGTCTATCATCGATTGGAAAGCATCTCCAATGTAGGAGCCCCCAGTTGGCCCACTTCAAGATTTATACCGAAATATGCCTTTATAAACTAAACATGACGAAACTATTAACTTCTAAAACAATTTATTTTCTCAAAAACATTTTAGATACACCCTAGTCGTAAAAAATACATATTTGAAATCACTTAGACCTATAACTAATAGAACATCTGAACAAATAAACAATGTGCGAATAAATGCGCGAAGTTAACAAAGCAACAATTGAAAGATTACCATCGGGTAACAACACCTTTATTTTTTATTACGGCTGAAATTCTTTGGGGCATAGTGTTAACCAAGTTTTGGCAAAATTTTGGTGTAAAACAATCCGATATTTCTTAAAGCTTTTGTCTCAGTTCGGTGATTGCACGAGCAGGATGTTGTCGTAGAACCTTCATTGCTCTGTTAACCGACAACAAAATAAACAAAACATTCTCAGGAACCCCGAGACATATCCCAGTCCATTTATTTACTTATTTCCAACAGGTGAAACCCAATTACAGGAAATGCTGAAAAAAATAACAATTAAAGATACATGGTTCTTGGACTTAAATCTACAGTATCACACATTCTAAATAAGATTGGATGATCTATAGCAGTTAATAATCGATGCACAACTGTCACTGTAAATATCACATGATTCAGTAACACTGTTCATGATGCAGCACATGAGATTAATTGGCGATTTTGTCATAACATTTGTACGGCTAGCTTGACAATAGAATGCCGTTTGTTGTCGACTCCATAGCCTTGGAACGCGGAAACATATTTTTTCAAGTAAATTTTGACAGTCAATTTTATTGTGAATGAGGCCATATAAAAACGACAAAGCAAATATGTTTCGGCTTGTTGACAGTGAATCCAAATTGAAAAACTCTAATAGGGCACAATGGTCACAACCTCTTTCTGGATAAGAACCTGTGCATTTAAGGTGAAAATACTTTAAAGCTTTCCGTTGAATGGCCTCAAGGATCACGACAGAATTTTGGTATATAGGAGACAAGATCAGAGTCGCATACTCCAACTTGCTCCTGACAAAAGTAAAAAAAAGAGTCATTAATGTATCAACATTGGAGAAACCCATCCAGTTTCTGATACAGAAACCAAGTAGTCGAGTGGCAGCCGACGAGATATTGAGTATATGCTCAGTAAACGTTAGCTTGGTATCAAAGTGACTCCAAGGTCTCTATAAGAGGTGCATCTGTCTATAACCTGACCATTGATGTTATAATTATCATAAATTAAATAGTTAACCTTTCTTGTATAAGTCATAACTTTACATTTCGAAACATTCAGACTGAGACAGTTTCTTGAACACCATGACGGAATTAGAGCTAAGTCATCTTGCAACATGACGCAATCCTCGACTGTCTTGACTGACGTGCAGATTTTAAGGTCATCAGCGAAAAACAAATGGAAACACTTCAGTTCAAAAGACAAGTCATTAATAAATATCAAAAACAATAACGGACCTAGATTTGACCCTTGAGGTACCCCGGACGTGGCCCGATAGTAACTAGACCTATGAGCACCATATTCGACAAATAACCTTCTATCCCTCAAATATGAATTCATGAGCGACAGCATTGCATCAGACATACCCACCGTTTTAAGCTTATCCAGAAGTGCATAATGATCAACTTGATCAAACGCCTTCTGAATATCTGTGTAGATGACATCAACTTGTCCCTGACCGTCCAGTACTTCAGAAATGTACTGAGTAATCAGAGCCAAGTTGGTGATCGTAGATCTGCCTCTCATAAACCCATGCTGATTAATAAAGACCGAGCAGTAAACCGTTTCATAAGCGATGATCTCAAACAACTTGCTGAAATTGCACAGGATTGTTATTTGGCGATAGTTGGAAATATCAGAGATATCTCCACTTTTGTGAATAGGACATATTTTAGAGGTCTTCCAGATATTTGGATATGTCTCCGATTTTAGAATTAGGTTGAATATGGAAGCCAGCGGTTTCGCTAGTATATGAATGTAATCTTTAACGAAAAAACTTGGGATACCATCACATCCAGACGTCATTTTGTTCTTTAATCTTTTCGAAGCCCTAATTACGTTTTCTTCACCTAAATTTTTTAAAGAAATGATATCGGTAGAATTATTTGTTGGAGGAGATGACCCTAGTAGACCAGACGGGATGAAAAATGTTGAAAAGAAGGTAGCAAAACTGTCCACTATATCCTGAGGCGTATCGCAGACATTGCCATTAAGCGTCATCCCTGGGGGGATTCTAGATTGTTATTTTTTGATCTGGGCAAATGACCAGAATTTGCTAGGATCATTGACAATGGCATCCTCAACCGATTGGACGTAAGCGGAGTAGGCAACACTGATCTGGTTCTTAATGAGCTTCCTAAAATTACTGAACTGATCATCAGAAAACTTAGTACCGTCCGTTTCCAGTTCCTTCTTGCTATGTCCTTCTTCTTGATATTAAGTATAATTTCACGTGTGAACCATGGGGGATACGAAAACATTTTATTTTTACATATAGGGACATGGACCTCAAAGATGTTATTGATAACATTCCACACAAAACAATGTCTTTGATTGCCAAAAGCAACATGTGTCTAAAAAATACACATTATCGTAAGGACGCCAGACAAGACAAAGAAGGTTATCTGTAGACCATCTATAGATCGTGTCTCCAGACCCTATACACGAATTGCGCAACGGAGTCTACGACTCGTAGTATACAGGGTGTTTCAGTTTATTGTTGCATAACTTTAAGATTCGATAGAATTTTTAAATTAATGCATAAAGTCTATATAAACATGGGTCGAAAAATGCGTGGCTTCCGAAATACAGGGTGTTTAAATTTACTTTTTAAAATAGTTTTTTTTTAAATATTTCGAACAATATTTGATGTATAACGGTGAAAATCGGTATACAAGGGTTGTTTGGTACGACAAAACGAACCATGGGCATAGTTTTACTGTAGCCGCTAGAGGGCGCTCTCTACTGTACCTGTAGTGTATTAAAATGACCGAAATTTTTTTCTTGGTGCAATTTTTTGCTTTTTGAATAAAAAAACTGATTCTTAGCACTTTTCAACATAAAAAAGCTCTCTTGTGAATTTTCGTTATAGTTAGCCGTTTTTGAGATATTTCGACTTTTAAGGTTCGATGCATTTTTAATTATTTATGATAAAATAACGTTAAAAAGTCACTATCTCGATAATTTTTAGAAGTAGGCTGTTCCTGCAAATATTTTTGAAATTGAAAGCAGAATAAGGTTAAACGTCAATTAGTTGACAGTTAGTTTTGTTGTCTGTTGAAACCTGAAACGTTTTTTTGCAATTGTGAATGCGCGAAATTTAGTTTCTTTTGCCTGTTTTTTTTGTAATTTTTATAAAAATGCCATTTTTACTCTCCAATCAAGAGTTAGCGGATATTCATTTTGTGTATGGCTTTGTAAATGGAAACGCAGCAGAAGCAGCCAGAGAATACGGACGAAGATTTCCAAACAGACGACATCCAACTCTCTCAGTATTTGTAAGAGTGCATCGCCAAATAATTGAAAATGGTTTTGGAAATCTCCAAAGGGATCAAAACATAAATGTTCGTCAGCGCAGATTTACCCGTATGATTCTGCGTGAGTTTGATAGAGATCCGACCACAGGTGTTAGGAGAGTTTCTGGTGTCTTGGGAATTTCAGCAAGCCATGTTCACCGTGTTTTTAGAAATGACCATAGAAGTCCTTATCATTTGCAACCTGTGCAAGGACTACAGCCAGGGGACGGAGAACGAAGAATCACATTTTGTCAGTGGATTCTTGATAGAACTGATAATAATAGGGAGTTTTTAAGTAACATTTTATCGACCTATGAGTCATGCTTCACTAGACGTGGAGTGGTAAATTTTCATAATCAACATATTTGGTCGCATGAAAATCCGCATGCAGTTGGAGAAAGAAATTTTCAGCATGAATTTGGTGTGAACGTGTGGATTGGTATCTACCGTAATCGACTATTTGGACCCTACCTTTTGCCTGTAAGTTTAAATGCTGTGACCTTCTTGGAATTTTTAAAGGCTGAACATGCAAATATGTGGGATGATGTTATGTTAGATTTCAGAAGATTGGCCTGGTTCCAGCTTGATGGTTGTCCAGCTCATTATTCGAAAATAGTTAGAAACTGGCTGGACGAAAATTATCCAGAAAGAAGGTTCGGCCGTGGAGGACCAGTCGCCTGGCCTCCCCGATCCCCTGACCTAAATCCATTAGATTTATTTGTGTGGGGATTTCTAAAAGAAAAAGTGTACCAGACTCCCGTAACCACAAGAGATAAGCTAATAGACAGAATCAGGAATGCATGTGATGAAATAAGGCCTTGTCTGAATAATGCTATACCACGTTCGATCATTGGTAGATGTGAATTGTGTATTGAACAATTGGGTTTACATTTCGAGCAACTACTTTAGATTTTGTATGTTTGTCCTAACTATCCAATAGCATTTTAGTTGCAAATAATTAATTTAATTTGTTGAAAATAATATTGGAAAATTAAACAAATTAATATTCTGTTTTGTTGTGTTTATTTGGAGTTAGGAATTATTGCTGTGTTTAAAAACACAATCTAAACGATCATCTTAATTACTTGTAATGCCCAAATCGAACATGTAAAAAAAATATTATTTTCCCATAAATAATTAAAAATGCATCGAACCTTAAAAATCGAAATATCTCAAAAACGGCTAACTATAACGAAAACTCACAAGAGAGCTTTGTTATGTTTAAAAGTGCGAAGAATCATTTTTTTTTATTCAAAAAGCAAAAAATTGCACTAAGAAAAAATTTTCGGTCATTTTAATACACTACAGGTACAGTAGAGGGCGCCCTCTAGCGGCTACAGTAAAACTATGCACATGGTTCGTTTTGTCGTACCAAAAAACCCTTGTATACTAACTTTCACTGTTATACGTCAAATATTGTTCGAAATATTTAAAAAAAACTATTTTAGAAAGTAAATTTAAACGCCCTGTATTTCGGAAGCCACGCATTTTTCGACCCATGTTTATATAGACTTTATGCATTAATTTTAAAAGTTCTATCGAATCTTAGAGTTACGCAACAATAAACTGAAACACCCTGTATAATAAGCTTAAGGATTACGACTCTGTAAATGGTGCAAATACTGACACAATCAAGCACGTCTATTATATCAACAGGTGATAAAAATATCAATAGATATAGCCAAGACAGAAAGTAACACAATAGTGTTAGACTGCAAAAGCAAATTTCAGACGTCTCTAAATCCGCCAGTGCCTGAAGCCCATAGCTATCAAACAGGTTCACTATTTGTAAAGCTTGAAATTGATTTGTACATCGTTAAAGTCACCAGTTACTTTAAGGAATTTATTAAATTTCAATTCAGACATACAGACTTGAGGATTATCTAGATCAACGTGTTTCAACTCATAAATTTTCGCATCGTCCAGACGGACCCGGTATCCTCGACTATACGGATTACAAATAAGCTTCAGTTAGTCCGCTTGACGCATAATCAATGATTGATTACATTGATTCTAAACACGATATATCTAATCTATTATCAGCGAATATTTTTATCGATATTTTTAGCCACCTCCTCCGCACATAGGGAAATATGCATCAGTCGTGATGGGCAACGCGGCAAGGAAACCCGCCAAATCCAAAAAGAAAATCAAGAATGAAGGAGCGGATAGCGACGTCGAAGACGACGAGAAAAAGAAAGTCGGGGTCACCGAGAAATTCAACAACTACGATTGGCAGATCATAGACACCATCAAAAGAGATCTTCAGGAGACTCCCGAGTTGTTCGTGTTGAACAATGTGCTCATGGGCATCATGTTCTTCAAGAATTACAAAAAGTAAGTGTTTCTGACACGGCAAATATGATTTCCAAATTCATTTAAACGCAAGCTAAATGTTTTAGGAAAATTCTCTCTATTCAAAATGAAGCACCAAACGTACGTGTCAATCTAAAGATTGTCATTTTCGTACTCAGTTTTAAACAAAATCCATTAAATGTGCGGTATTTTCTTTAACAAAAGCTGGGAAATACGTTTTTGGGGATTTTAAGTACTTGGATATTCCATTGAAGTGGGTTCAAGAGATTAATATCAAACAATTCGAGAACAGCTGTCTCCAAATGAGTATGAATTTTTCAAAATTGTAGAACTGTCGCTTTAATGCCGATATCATATTCAAAAACAATATAAACGAAACAAACATATACTAAGTGACATATAAATCCGAACACCCAAAATGATTGCACTGCTTTAAAGCCCTTTGACCTTTAATAATGTGTGGATGCACCCTGATGTGCTACGCATCCTCCAACGCGCCTAGGCATGCTTCTGATCAGGTGGTCAATGTCCTCGTGTGGTATCTCATTCCAGGCAACCACCAACTCCTCTCGAAGTGCTTCTAGAGTCTGAGGAGGACGTTGCAAATTGAGCAATCTCCTACCCATCATATCCCACACGTGCTCAATTGGGGATAAGTCGGGAGATCTTGGTGGCCATGGTAACAATGTGACATCATTACGTTGAAAGAAGTCTATTGTGACTCTTGCAACATGTGGTCGGGCATTATCTTGTTGGAAAGTTGGATCTGCCAGGGTGTCAAGATAGGGTAAAAGATGGGGCTCTAGAACTTCGTGGATATAACGCTGCGCGTTCGTGTTACCTCTGATGAAGATTAAAGGTGACCTGGAACCATAAGCTATAGCACCCCAAACCATAACTCCAACAGTGTGATGAACATGTCTTTCAACAAAAAACTGTGGATTCCTCCTTTCACCACGTCGCCTTCTAACCCTGGCACGACCATCGTGCATGCCTAAACAAAATCGAGACTCGTCACTAAAGACAATACTGTTCCATTCCTGATCCCAGAGTGACCGTTGTCTGCACCACTAAAGGCGATTACGTCGGTGTTCTCGAGTTAAAGGGAGGACCCAGTGTGGCCGGTATGAAAACAAGCCAAAACTTCTCATTCGTCAATAAACACTTCGCATGCCAATAGGTCTTCCGTGTTCTGCAAACCATTCATTTGCAATGGACCTGGTAGTGGAGAAACGGTCCCTTAAGGCCAATAATCTTAGGCGGCGATCTTCACGGTCTGTTGTTCTACGGCGGCGTCCAGTGCCCCTTGCTCTTTGCGTACGGCCTTCTCGAAGCCATGCCTGACAACACCTAACCACAGTGTCTACACTTCTTTGCACTCTAACTGCAATTGCCCGAAAAGAAAGTCCAGCTTCCCGAAGTCCCACTATACGGCCCCTATCAAACTCACTAAGTTGACGAAATCGTACAGGTCTCCGTACTCTAGGCATCGTAACCGATCGTAAAGGATGTCAAGAACCAAAATCCGTCAACGTTGATTCTTTACTGCGGCTGAAATATTCATTTTTAGAGCGTTAGTGAATTAAAAAAAAGCAGTATAAAAATCGGAATGTCCAACTGATAAGGCTGAACATTTTTTCACTTGTTATTCATAGTAAGATAAATACATTCACCAACTTTTATTAAAATAAAACCATTTAAACTGGGTGTTCGGATTTATATGTCACTTAGTATATAAATATTGTCAAGTACCTACTTCACCTAAAAAGCTATTCCATGTAAGCTAGTTTTATATCTATGATCAAATTAATAATATAAAATGATATTTGAACTGCATGGTTTTCTACTCGGATTACACAGCTAACAAATCTGCAAAGGAGAAACGTCGATATACCGTAACTTTTCCTACGTGGCGAAAATCAAAAGTTTGCCTCTTGTTAGTCTCTGAAGCGAGGTTAAAAATTACTTTAAAATAGGCTAAGCATAAAATCCTCCTCAGTATCCTGCAAGGATAGGTTTGAATTGCAATGTAGAAACCTAGAAGCTTAAAAAATGTTATCAATCCGAGTTTTCAAGGATTGAAAATACGTATTTTTAGGGGCTTTCAAACATGTAGTCGATTATATACTCAGTGATATCAGAAGTGATACACCCAGAAAAAATTATTTCCTCAACCTTTTTTGGCAGTGAGGTAGTCTTACATCAAGAATGAAGACCCCAGAGCTGAATACCTTCCTGTATACGTCTAGGAATCGACAAAATGAGATGATCGAGAGTCTGTGTGTCTCCCCATCGTATTCCAGACATGTTCGATGGGACTTAAATCCGGCACGGAAAAAGATTAGCGCGCTTCTAGACAGAATCACGATACGTCGCTGAAGATGGCATTCCATTCTGACTCCCGATGTTGCCGCTCTCTGCTCCAGTTTGAACGTTGACGGCAGTGGTCCGCAGTCAGAGGAAGCACTAACCGTGGACGGTATGGACTAGGCTCGAGTGCGACTGCAGAGTGTGCGCCTAGTAACAGGTGTCTCCAAGCCATTGGTCAACGATCTGACGCGTAGTAGCAGAACGGTCTCGTATCGCTAGTCGTCTGTCGGCCTTCTTCGTGTTCCTCTACGTTCTTCTGTCCACACACGACACACAGGCATTTCCGTTTTGCAGCGATAGATCAAGCCAACATCTCGATAGGCAGAAATGAAAGGGCAATAACAAAACGTATCCGTACTACTCAGCTCTCAGAAACTGCTTTCTTCACAAAAACTAAGAAATAACATTTTAACAAAGGTAAACATTATGTTGCCAGGAAACAAGTTGAGGAAATTATATTTTCTCCGTGTAACACTTCTAATGCCATTGAGTATAATTCAAAAAGAGAGAGCAACCAAGAACATTTTTGGTTAAGAATGCTACAAACGATTTATGAAAACTTTCTAGCGAAAAAAACATCTACTTGGGTGCATATTGACATTGCGAAAATTCTGTCCTATTTAATGTTTCTTATACCGAAGGAGCTTGAAGACACCTCAATGTTTCAACTGCCTACGGTCGAATTGAACGGCACTTTGACGGAACCCGGCCATCCATCGAAACCGGATAGGACAGTAACCTGTATTCGATTTTTCGGATGATTTTCAATTTCTCTCTAGTTGTCGTTTACTAAACATACTAGCTAATACGGATGCGTTTATCCAAAAAAATCATATAAAGCTTACTGTCCACGCACGGTGCTATCGTGGTAAGTGCCCACGAGACGGCGCGGCGTAGCGATTGGAGATACCTTCAGCACTTGTGAGTTTTGATAAAACCATCGAAATACTAGACATCCTCTTAAAAAATGATAATAGATCGTCAGTATGTCCGCAACCACAAGGTATAATACTCAATATTCATCTCAAATCAGCATGCTTACAGTTGCATGATAAATTTAGTGACCTGTATCCGGTTTCGGGTATTTTCTAGTTGATTGCTTTACGTAAATTTTTCAGCGTGTTTGCATAGACGTGCGCATTCACTGTTGTCCCTTTTGATACGTACTCAATTGCCATCAGAGTGTTGTCCGTGCTCTTTTTGGGGGTGGAGACCCTTTATGAACCCACTGCCCGGATTTTGTGTTTGTCTCGGGATCTCACCCGTCACAATTTGTACCAAAAAAATCAGCCAGAGCTTCCAAATGATTTTCTAAAATTTAGTGTCGACAATTGTGGAACCCACCTGATTGACACCTGACTCATCTTCAAATTGCCCTGCAATATAGTCATTACGCTAGGTTTCGATAGATTAGATGCGATAACAATGGCAGAGACCTTGACGCGACGATCTTCGAGAAACATGGCTTCAACTTTTCGTCATTTCATCATTTGTTGCTATTTTGGGCACAATCTATTTCAGCAATCAAAAATGCATTTTCGTCCAGCTTAGTGATAAATACATTATAGGTACAGGGTGTTTTCAAAGTTGTCATTTATTTCAACTGCTTGTAGAACTCACCAAAGTAGTTGATATACCGAAAAACACCTAATAAAAGTTGCATAATAAAGATTATTAATTTTAGAAAATAGGAATGTTATTATAATGACTTTTTGATAGTCCCTATCACGATTATCGTTTTTTTTTCTACTACTTTTATCGTGTATCTAAACTTTTTATGTTATTGTATGGTTTATACGTATTTACGAAAGCAATGAACTAGTGGACATAATAGAGGAAGTTTGGTGAATATGGAATACCCATTCTTACTATGCACTTATAGATTACTACAATAGAATAACAATTGATAATAATAAGGATAATGGGTGGCCAAATACATTTATTTTACGAAAAAAAAATATATTTAGCAAATAACATGTAATCGAAAAATGACAAAAATATATTTAATGTCATATGTCATTTTTAGGCGCCAAGAAAACTGGCGAGAAATATGGAATAGCTTCATCTGGTAATATGGTATACGAGGGATGTCTTTTAAGTTTTGCATATAGAAACATAGTAGGCCGCGCGGATCGAACGTCAGTACTGAATCATAACCTCACTCCTTAGTAAACTTAAATTCAAAGTTTTACAACAGTACGTGCAGTGTTCTCACTACAGTGAATTTTTGAGTGTCACCAAGTCATTAGAAAACTGGAACTCAACCGAGAACAGCCAGGGTTAATTGGTGTCAAAAAACGCTTGACCTTTTCAATTCCGGAAATTCAAAAAATAAAAAAAAGTAAACGACAGTTGGCTGTTTGGGTGTTCCAAGCTGGTGGTAAACTGGCTTTCTTCCTAGTGATATTTTGTTAATAGAATCAACACCTTCCTTACAACAGCGAAATAGTGTGCTCCGAGGAACGCCAAAATTCTTGGAAGCCGCTATATTTAACGGTTATTACCCATCCTTTTTGTCCTTACAGCATCTATTGCATTGCGCATACTATCGACATTCCAAGTTTGTTTTTTAGCTTTAAGAAGCTTTTTAGGTGCCATTATAAGTCTGTAAAAAAATTGACACTGTAAATACTTCTGGATTTCGGGTAATACGGAATATCGGGTAATATGGAATATCGGCTAATATTCCATATTACCATCATCACATAGAGGTTATGTGTTCGTATACTGAGGTGATATTAATTACATTTCCAAATATTTATAATATCTAGTGCATGCACTGTACCTGATCGCCAAAACAGATTTCCTCGTAAAGCTTCAAAACTATGGGAACAAATTTGCAGCGTTACCGAAACTTCGCATGCTCGCCGAACAAACTTTTGCTAATGACCGCTCGTCGACGGTAGATCTGATTGACCGAGTATGCGCGGTGATTTTTGGTACATCAAGTTCTTTTGACGAGTTCTTCAAGTTGCTAACATAAATGACTCAACTTTGAAAACACTCTGTATTTTAGTTTCTTAGCTATTATCTGTTAACCATAATTCCAGAACTAGAGATTTGTCACAAATATTAGTCAGAGTATTTTGACGCATTGTTTACTAATAAAACTAATAGCTTAAGCCGTAGATAGTAAGGAAAAAGCTTTGTCGAGAATTACTTCGATTATACTTAATAACCGGATTAAAGTTAATATCCTCATAACCCAGCTTAATATGGATATCTAAGATAATCCTAATAGCTCGAAATCCCACAATGAGTTAACTGTTTATGAAATGTGTTTATTTTCAAGCTGTAAAGCTATAACGTCAATTGTTATTTTGTATCAATGCATATCATGGATAAACAATAATTAATAATATACTAAGTGACATATGAATCCGAACACCCAGTTTAAATGGTTTTATTTTAATAAAAGTTGGTGAATGTATTTATCTTACTGTAAATAAGAAGTGAAAAAGTTTTCAGCCTTATCAGTTGGACATACTGCTTTTTTTTAATTCACTAACGCTCTAAAAATGAATATTTCAGCCGCAGTAAAGAATAAACGTTAGCGGATTTTGGTTCTTGACATCCTTTACGATCGGTTACGATGCCTAGAGTACGGAGACCTGTACGATTTCGTCAACTTAGTGAGTTTGATAGGGGCCGTATAGTGGGACTTCTGGAAGCTGGACTTTCTTTTCGGGCAATTGCAGTTAGAGTGCAAAGAAGTGTAGACACTGTGGTTAGGTGTTGTCAGGCATGGCTTCGAGAAGGCCGTACGCAAAGAGCAAGGGGCACTGGACGCCGCCGTAGAACAACAGACCGTGAAGATCGCCGCCTAAGATTATTGGCTTTAAGGGACCGTTTCTCCACTACCAGGTCCATTGCAAATGAATGGTTTGTAGAACACGGAAGACCTATTGGCATGCGAAGTGTTTACCGACGAATGCGAAGTTTTGGCTTGTTTTCATACCGGCCACACTGGGTCCTCCCTTTAACTCGAGAACACCGATGTAATCGCCTTGAGTGGTGCAGACAATGGTCACTCTGGGACCAGGAATGGAACAGTACTGTCTTTAGTGACGAGTCTCGATTTTGTTTAGGCATGCATGTTCGTCACACTGTTGGAGTTAGGGTTTGGGGTGCTATAGCTTATGATTCCAGGTCACCTTTAATCTTCATCAGAGGTAACATGAACGCGCAGCGTTATATCCACGAAGTTCTAGAACCTCATCTTTTACCCTATCTTGACCCCCTGGCAGATCCAACTTTCCAACAAGATAATGCCCGACCACATGTTGCAAGAGTCACAATAGACTTCTTTCATCATAATGATGTTACATTGTTACCATGGCCACCAAGATCTCCCGACTTATCCCCAATTGAGCACGTGTGGGATATGATGGGTAGGAGATTGCTCAATTTGCAACGTCCTCCTCAGACTCTAGAAGCACTTCGAGAGGAATTGGTGGTTGCCTGGAATGAGATACCACAGGAGGACATTGACCACCTGATCAGAAGCATGCCTAGGCGCGTTGGAGAATGCGTAGCACATCAGGGTGCATCCACACATTATTAAAGGTCAAAGGGCTTTAAAGCAGTGCAATCATTTTGAAACTTTTATCTTTTACTTATTATGCTTCATTAAGTACTTATACAAAATTTTATTAAAATAAAACCATTTAAACTGGGTGTTCGGATTTATATGTCACTTAGTATAATTAGAGGATTATTGACAGAAACAAAATAGGGAAACTAAAGCAAATAATGCTCTGTCCAGCATATACAGGGTGTGATTTAAGTACGTGGCTAAACTTCAGGACTTTATTTTTTAGTAATTTTAATTCATATAAAGTCCAGAAATGCTTCATTTTCAAACTTTTTTAAAAAAGACGGTTTTTTTAAATATCTTTAACTTTCAGTCGATTTTGTTCAAATTTAGCAGCGATATAAAGGGCAGTAAGGGGCTAGTTTAGCTCCAATTACATTGAAATTATTGGTGGTGGTCACAAAAAACGCCCTAACCAATATCTTTAACAAAAAAATTGTGCGCCACTGACCTTTTCAATTTTTTCAGGCAGCTAAAAATACAACTTTTCTATCTCCTGTTTCTTCAAATTGTGAGGTTAGTGTATCTTCAAAAAGTGTCCCTTCTTTTCCAGAGACATGGAAGACTTGTCGAACTCTAGAACCGAATCCAAACCCGACTTTCTAGCACCAGATTCGGTCCTAGAGAAAGTGAGTGAGAACGTCAAATTCCGTCCATTCCACGGTCCCAAGAAGCATCATTTGGAGCCCATCATGGACAGAAGGTTGTTCGTGTTCAACGAGAATGTGCAAGTGCTTGGCATTACCGACGATTGCGGTGGAAACACCGAAAAGGCGGCTGTCAGAATTGAAGAATCTCCGAGAAAAGGTAATGTACGTGTCCTAAATATCCGGCGTTTTTCGTAATTATAGAAAACTCCTTGGTCGGGTTTGTTTTTACTTCCCATGCCACTGGTGAGGAAGAAGACATTCTAGTTATCGCATGTTATATAGCGTAAAGCTTCAATCGGCGGCCCTAAGCATGAATTTAAGTGAGAAAAGTGAGATTTTCAAAAAAAGTAGTGAGAATATAGTGGGTCACGCTGCTGAGCAAGTGTTGAAGATGTACAGGTTCCGAAAACGATCTGATTTCACAAATTTCAATAATTAATCGATCTTCAATTCTTTTAAATCCATTAGTGGTTTTTTGAAAAACATAGCTATGGGTTTCTAGTGATTTGTTAGTAAAGTTTTTTGATCATTCTACTGTGCGGTCACTTTCTTCTAAGAACAATTCAGCAACAATCTCGCCGACTTACTCCTGATGATGATGGCATAGAACATCGAAAGTTTGAGTTTTAAAGTTGAACGAGTGTACATTGGAAAACATTTGTCGGGTTCCCAAAGATATGTCAAGGATACCTTCTCCTAACGAGTAACGACAACTATATACAGGATGTTCGTTTGGATTTATCGGAAACCACTGATTAAACGAAAAAAAGAGACACCTATAAGAGTTATCAAAACTACTTCGCCGTCTTTAACCCTCTGCCCCCCAGGGTTATCTCCTTGAAAATTTAAAATAACTAGGGGTTCCAAATAATAGCTTGTTTGAAGAATCTTTCGGCTGTGGTTGTCAATACGGTTTTCAGAAACATATATCTGTATCAGAATCGCAGAAACTACTAGGAGCATAGATATCAAGGATCAAAATTTCGTGGCAGTATCATAGCACCAGCAGGGTACCATTCACATACCTCCTCGCGCTTCTGTGATCCTAACAGCAAGTCACCGTCCACCAATTTCACGAGAAAAGTCTTCATAACCGGAATCGGAACCGGAATCGGAGAAACGGTAAGAGGTATCGATGCGATTCGGATTTCGGGCTTACCTAATAGCAGGAACGGAATGTCAATTGCATACCTCCTCGCGTTCCTGCGATCTTGACAGCAAATCTGGATTACGAAAAAACTAGTCGACAGTACGATTTTTAGGTGTTTGTAGATCAGGACCTTAGGAGTGAAGTGAGGCATAAGCGTCTAGGATCCAAATTTCTTGCCAGTATGTTAGCAGGAGCGTAGTAACATTTTCATACCTCCTCTCGTTTCTGTGATCCTGACAGCAAGTCCTCATCTAATCTAATTTTACGAAGAAATCTGTTATCAACCTCTAGTTCTGTATCAGGATCGCAAAAACGACGGGAGGTATAGGTGGTAAGGTGCCAAATTTTGCACCAGGAGTAGAGTATCATCCATGATCCCGAGACAAAGAGGCAATCTTCCGAGTGGCATACGACGGCGTCTCCTCGCCCAAAAAAAGGAAGAATGAGCAAATCCAAAGTGGAAACGATGTTCATTGTCTTTTTTGACATCAAAGGCATGAATTTGTTCCTCCTGGACAAACCGTCAACGCCAAGTTTTACGTGGAAGTGCTCAGGAGACTCAAACGAAGGGTCAGTCGGGTCCGACAAGACATCGCATCCGACTGGAGGTTGCACCACGACAACGCCCCGGTTCACACCGCCTTTCTTGTGAACAGCTACCTGACCAAGGCCGGCATCCCAACGCTTCCGCAGCCGCCCTACAGCCCAGATGTGCCCCCCCCCCGGACTTTTTTTTTGTTTCCTCGCCTGAAAAGGCCGGCCGATGAAAGGCAAGCACTTTGAGACGACAGAGGGGATCCAAGCAGCATGCACCGCGGCTCTCAAGGCTATTCCGTGACGCCTTCAATGCTTAGAAATCGCGCTGGCAGCGCGGCATCGACGCAGAAGGAGCCTATTTTGAAAGTTTTTAAAGAACTGTAACGATTGGCTCAATACATCTTTTTAAATCGACTCAGTCCTACTACTTTCCGGCCAAACCCTGTAAGTGTTGAAAATTAAATCAAAACCACGTTTTTTTTTGTGGAACTATTTGACGGTGCCGAATATATTATCTTTCCAGTGGGTAGTTTTTCAATAAAATGTAAGTATATTTTTTTTCACCATGTTTTTAAAAAGTGTATTTGTCGTTTAAAATGACATATTAGCACTCATAATAAAACTCATAATAAAACATTTTATCCCAGTAATTTGTATCTAGGTATATACTTAGTTTCTTTCTTTGTATTATCAGGGCGATCCTAATTTTGTTAGCTAACTTTGTTAGCAGCTGTTCTAAATAACTAATTTGTCGTCACAACAAACCAGTGTCCCAAATTTTTAGGTTTTTCTTCTTTATTTCAGTATGGTGGGAAAATACAAAAGGAAGAGCAATAGGCAATCATATGAGATGAGCTATCGAGGCAGTACAGAGCGGTAATATCAGCTTCCAAACAGTTTAATGTTCCACAAGCCACGTTAAGAAGGCGAGCTCAGAATAAAAACAAAAAAGTAAGAGGTGTTGAAAAAGGCCTTGGACGTTTTTCTACAACCTTTTCAAGAGAAATGGAAAACGAACTTGTTGAACATATCAAGTTTCGGAAAAGTATGTTGTTTGGACTTTCAGTAACCGAGTTAAGGAAAGTAGCTTACGAGTTCGCAGAAGCCAATAACTTACCTCATCGGTTTTGCAAAGACGAAAAAATGGCAGGATTTGAGTGGCTTAGGGGATTTCGTATGCGTCATCCAGAAGTTGGTTTAAGAAAGCCGGAATCTACATCTGCAGCGAGGGCACAGGGCTTCAACAAACCTCAAGATTTTTTCTACGTCTAGAGAAATATCATTTTGGACCCAACAACATATACAATGTTGACGAATCTGACCTCTCAACAGTCCAGAAACCTTCCAAGATATTTGCTACTAACAACCGTAGTATGTTGTATGAATGCAGCAGGATCTTTCGTCCCCCCCGCATTAATTTTTGCCAGAAAGAAACGTAAAACAGAACTCGTGAATGATGCACCTGTAGAAACATTACTTCTGTGTCAAGCGTCTGGGTGGATGACCGGCGAACTATTCTTACTTTGGCTGAAGCACTCTCATGCTTCATTGGAAAATCCGGTTTTGTTGATTTTAGATGGCCACAGCAGCCACAAATATTATCCAGCCCTAAAACATGCTAAAGGTAATGGCATGGTTTTAATGTGTTTGCCTCCACACTGCACCCATCGAAATCAACCATTAGATGTTACATTTTTTGGCCCGTTCGATACTTATTACGACCAGGAAGTTGACAGATGGTTAAAAGCAAATCCTGGTCGTATAGTAGGCCCATTTCAGATAGGAAAGGTCTTTTCTGTAGATTATGGAAAGGCAGCAACAACTGCAATAGCGTGTTCTGGAATATTTCCATTCAACTCGGATATTTTCCCAGACTATCTGTTTATGCCCAGCTCGGTTACTGACCATCCTCACGTAACGGCAGATACCGATCAATGTGCAGGTCCGTCTATCCAAAAAAGCCCAATCATTACAACCACAAAGTCCATGCATGAATCAAAAAAAAGCAATCAAGTTGCATGTTCATCTAACCGAAAAAGCCCAAACAAATATGATGAGGACCAGAGAATACAAAAGGCATCCACAGAAAGAGAAGAACGCAGGAGTTTGGCGAGTTAACGAGCACTCCACAAATGGAAGAAATTAAAGCGAGGTACGAAAATAAAGAGTCAGAAAGAAGAAAGTCAGAAAGAAAAAGGGTTACGAGAAAAATTGTTCGAAGTGAAGAAGAAGGCGATGTTTTACCAGAAATGGAAGAAGATGATGAAGATGATGTTTCATGTATACAGGGTGACTTCGAAGTTGAGTCATTTATTTTAACAGTGAGTAGATCTGATCAAAAGAAATGTTTTTTCCTTTACCTTCTGGTAAAATTAAAGTAACAAAGTTATAGCCCTTTGGAAGTTTGAGTACCGCCCTGTCTCAATAATAATATTATGTGCTCGTGTTTGGCGACAACGGATATAATTCGCCTTATCGGTTCATCGCATCGGAAACAAAAAAGCGAAAGAATTTGGAACGATGTTTTTACAATTATTTCATTCAGTTGTAAACAGTCAGTGTCAGTCGGTAGTGGATAGTGGTGTCTGTTGCGTGGCTCAAACGAAATAAAAAATGGCACATGTTTATGCGGATCGGTTTCCCAATCGAGTGCAACCAACCCCTCGTGCCTTTGTTAATGTAGTACAACGGGTTCGTGAATCATTTGACTTAAGACCTCACATATGGACGGTTTATTTATTTTGGTTTATCTTCCTTCTACAATCATTATCTGAAAATTAATGACTCAACTTCAAAGTCACCCTGTATATTGCAATGAGTTGTATAGTTTTCCAAAATCTGGAGAAGGTTGGATTAGAGGCCAGAGCTGCAAAAAGTGGAGCCACACAGAATGTGCCGGTATAAGCAAACGAGCCAAGCAGTTCTTATGTGATATATGTCAAAGTTAATATATCAAACGTTATGCCACTTTATGCCAAATTACTCTTATTTTCTTTAACAAAGTTTTCACTCATTATTGAGACAGTTTTTGAAATTAAAACAGCTTTTATGTTCCGTTTCTTTGTTTTGGGTAGGTATGTCATTTTATCGATATAGGGTATGTCATTTTATCAGACATATTTTGTGTTTACTAAAAAGTGATTTCTTTGAATAAACAGGGTATTTTTCTAAATAGGTATTTTTATATAGCAATAAAAACCGCTATCCCATATTAAACATTCCATTACAATAGATGCTAAAATTATGTATATTTATTTAATTTTTTTGTTTGCCTTTTTGGTTGAAAGAGTTTGGGTATGTCATTTTAGGGCAGTCTCCCCTATAACAATAAATACAGTTCGCCCAGGGTATCTGTGTTGATGAAAACAATGCGGAAAAAGATTCGGGTTGTGATTTGGTTGTTCCCACGTCTAATCTTCCGAATTGCTATTTATGTTGGTGGTTTCTGTTTTAAATTATAAGCTACGAGTAATTGTAGATTAGGCAAACCCTAACAGGCAACATTTTGATCACTTATCATAGTAAATAGTGATATTTTCGTGTGTTTCTGTTTTCTTTCCGAACAAATTGAGATAAATAAAGATTTTTCTAATTTTCTCGATAATGAATCGACTCGTTTTAAAAAATCAAACGGCAATATAAAGTTGGCAAGTTCTCAAATGAACACCCTGTATGTTCGCTTTATGTGGTACTTGTGAGCACACTATTAGTTAAGTAACCGTTATGTTTCCCTGTAACTGGACTAGTCTGTTGGGCAAGGCAGCAGCGGTGGCCGCAGTAGTAGGTCTCCTGATCAGTCGCCGTGCGCTGCGCGGGTTGGAATCCCGTCCCAGGAGAAATTTTTCTCTTGGCAATGGATGTTGTGATTGCCAGGAGAAATTTTTCTCTTGGCAATGGATGTTGTGATTGTCCGTAGATGGTAGACGGTCTCTGACTGTCGAACGCGGAGGTACCACCCGGCGGATCTCGTAGGCGGTACCCCATGGGTGTTTAGGCCTTCGTGGTAGTTGGAGTATAAAAAAATGTAAAAATAAATAAGACCGTCAAATTACAGACTGTAACGTACATATCAGATAACACCAAACGGACAACATGGCAAATTTTCACGAAGTTGTTTAAGTACCTAGGCACAATCACGCAGCATTTCATGGGCATACACAGGATAAAGGTAAAGTAGCATCTTGGAAGTAAATGATGAAGGTTTCCATCGCTAGCAACAATCAATATCCCATCATAATGATGTTTATTATTTATTTCTCAAGCGCATTCCTTTTTTTAAATAGCATAATGTTAACATAGGGATTAGTGTGATTGACATTATCTTTAAATGAGGAGGCAATACGTGGAGATGCAAAATCCGTATATTATCGGGTTTAAAATTATTGAAATAACGAAACTATCCAAGGCCACCAGTAAAGTACCGCATATAATGCGTCCCGACGTTTGCTCGTCTGATTTCCGCTTCTGAATCGCTCATAAACCACGCTTTTTAATCTGAATTGAATTATTCTATTAATGACCTAAAAAAAAGAGTAAGTCCGAGACTGCACGCATGCGCAGATCGCGCGCTAGCTCTATCTCCCTTACTCCCCCACAGAGGGTCTTTAAAAGAATTCATCAATCCCGGTCTAATAAGGATAATGGAAAACTATTATTAAATTATGGCATTGTCATCGGTCCTTGGTACGTGTACGAAGTTTCAAATTAATCAAGCTTTCGGAAATTGGTGCAAATTATGCTCAAATATTCCGTTACATACTACAGGCCAAGTTTATAAAAGCGTGTTAAAAATATACTAAGTGACATATAAATCCGAACACCCAGTTTAAATGGTTTTATTTTAATAAAAGTTGGTGAATGTATTTATCTTACTGTAAATAACAAGTAAAAAAATTTTCAGCCTTATCAGTTGGACATTCCGGTTTTTATACTGCTTTTTTTTAATTCACTAACGCTCTAAAAATGAATATTTCAGCCGCAGTAAAGAATCAACGTTGGCGGATTTTGGTTCTTGACATCCTTTACGATCGGTTACGATGCCTAGAGTACGGAGACCTGTACGATTTCGTCAACTTAGTGAGTTTGATAGGGGCCGTATAGTGGGACTTCGGGAAGCTTGACTTTCTTTTCGGGCAATTGCAGTTAGAGTGCAAAGAAGTGTAGACACTGTAGTTAGGTGTTGTCAGGCATGGCTTCGAGAAGGCCGTACGCAAAGAGCGCAAGGGGCACTGGACGCGGCCGTAGAACAACAGACCGTGAAGATCGCCGCCTAAGATTATTGGCCTTAAATGTACCGTTTCTCCACTACCAGGTCTATTGCAAATGAATGGTTTGCAGAACACGGAAGACCTATTGGCATGCGAAGTGTTTACCGACGAATGAGAAGTTTTGGCTTGTTTTCATACCGGCCACACTGGGTCCTCCCTTTAACTCGAGAACACCGACGTAATCGCCTTGAGTGGTGCAGACAACGGGCACTCTGGGATCAGGAATGGAACAGTATTGTCTTTAGTGACGAGTCTCGATTTTGTTTAGGCATGCACGATGGTCGTGCCAGGGTTAGAAGGCGACGTGGTGAAAGGAGGAATCCACAGTTTTTTGTTGAAAGACATGATCATCACACTGTTGGAGTTATGGTTTGGAGTGCTATAGCTTATGGTTCCAGGTCACCTTTAATCTTCATCAGAGGTAACATGAACGCGCAGCGTTATATCCACGAAGTTCTAGAACCCCATCTTTTACCCTGGCAGATCCAACTTTCCAACAAGATAATGCCCGACCACATGTTGCAAGAGTCACAATAGACTTCTTTCAACATAATGATGTCACATTGTTACCATGGCCACCAAGATCTCCCGACTTATCCCCAATTGAGCACGTGTGGGATATGATGGGTACGAGAGGAGTTGGTGGTTGCCTGGAATGAGATACCACAGGAGGACATTGACCTCCTGATCAGAAGCATGCCTAGGCGCGTTGGAGAATGCGTAGCACATCAGGGTGCATCCACACATTATAAAAGGTCAAAGGGCTTTAAAGCAGTGCAATCATTTTGAAATTTTTATCATTTACTTATTAAATAAAACCATTTAAACTGGGTGTTCGGATTTATATGTCACTTAGTATAACAGAAAGCAGCCGTGTTTCCTCCATAATAAAACAAATGTCTCTCAAAGAAATTCACTAATACTCCAGGACTATTAGACGAAAATAAGGCCAATCTGCTGAAAAAATCCCACCTGGCTGAATTCTTTACCAGAGCTTCTTTTCAACATTATAAATCATTCCTCAAAAGTCCCCGTGAATCCAAGTGGAGCTTTTTTTATGGGGGGTCAAAGGTCACAAAAAACATATAATAATAATAATAAATGGCTTTTTTCGAAGAGACAATGCATATAAAAATAGTGTTAAACAAAAAGGAATTGCTCTCGAATATCAAGGGGGAGTTCACGACCTGCGTGCTCTTCCACTCATCCCTCGCTCTTGTTACTTTAATGTTTTAGTTCCACATAGCATGTAAAATGTTGTTAGTTGTGTATCGTTGGTAGTAATACTGAAATAAATTTTCCATCTTTGTTCTGTAACGACGAATTATTTGTCATATATTTATTAGAAGTGCATTATTTTTTTAGGAATAGTTACACATTCCTGTAAAGTTGCAAAAAAGGTAATAAAATGGGATATTTTGAACACATACTGATGTTTTATTCAATGAGTCTGAAAGTTCAACAAACCTTATTTAATTGATTTTTCTTCTAAATCCGAATTATTAACTTTATCTTCAGTTATCCGAAATTGTTATTTAAAAATATAAAAAATGCCTCTCCAGAGAAAAAGCTTTTTTTGAATAGTGTTACTATTCTTGAGAATCAGCGATTTGTAGCCCAAAAATAGCTTTTTTCAACTAGCCCAAGATCGGCTCAGCCGTTTCACGGATACAGGGTGTTTTTTACGGAATCCTTTGATTACCCCCCCACCATTTTATTGTAGAGATACAGCAAACATTGTCAAACAAAAAAAAAGTCACATTATTTTCGACTTTATGATATGGCATTTATTGTTATGTTAATATAGGGGAAATCACGAAAACATCACTTTTTTAGATTTAAGATTGCAGTTCCACCTAGCGTATATTTCAGAAAACGTTTTCCACCTCGATTCTCGGTTGGCCACCCTGTACCAAATTTGATAGAAAATACTTTTCTTCCATTAAACAGATGAATGAAGGTCGCTGCTAATTCGGATCTTCTACTATACCAATTACAAACTCTCCCTGCAGACATTCGTCAGAAAATTTCTGACAAAAGAGCTGCAATTGAGCAAGGCAGCAGCGGTGGCCGCAGTAGTAGACTCTTCGGTCTCCTGATCAGATAGTAGATTCCTCAACTGAAGAGCTGCACGGCACATCAGCGGAATCTCCTGAGACTCCGCATTGCACACCAGCAGAGCTCCAAGGTCATATTAAAGACCTCAAGGTGCGTAAGGCACCTGGAGAGGATCGAATCACTAATAAGGCGCTGAAGCTACTTTCGCGGAAGTCCTTATCTCGTGGCAATAATCAAGGCCGTGCTAAGGACCCAGCACTTCCCAATGGGGTGGAAGACCGCTGATGTCATAATGATTCCAAAGAAGGTGGGTTCGATATTCCCCCAGTATTACCGCCCCATTAGTCTACTGTCAGTTCCTTCTAAGCTGGCTGAAAAGGTCACCTTGAAAATTTCTCGGCAGACCACAATGTGATTGCTGACGTGCAATTTGGCTTTGGGTCTGAGATACAGGCCATAAGACTTTTATATAAGATGGTTATTAGACCAGCGATCACTTACGCCAGTGCGGCTTGGTGTTTTCTCGCCAAAAAACACATTTGCGTAGCCTACAGGTTTTGCAGAACAGAACCTTGCGTACAATCACTAACGCCCCATGGTATCTTTCCAAGGAGACCCTTCACAGAGACCTTGACATCCCTTACCTCGGGGACTACATCAAACAACAAGCGCAGCTACGTTGTAGTCAAGCGGAATCGCATAACAACACTTTGTTGCGCGAGTCAGTAGACTACACAGTCGAGCACGTTCGCAATCACACAAGGCCGCGACTCGCACTGTGAACAAAATTAAATCGTGCGACTTTAGATCCAACCAAAATTACAATTTTTCTTCAACAACCAATCCCAAAATTAATTTTAGGATCAATTTAAAATTGCCGAATACTAACTAGCAATGCCTCAAATTGACGCACTTCTTTTTTCTTTGCTTTGCCTCCTTCCTTTCTTCTTCTCTTCTTTCTCCCTGACTTTGTTTGGTATCTTTGGACGAATAGAACCATTTACAAACATTCTTTGTTTCCAGGTTTCGTGAAGTTACGTGAAATCGACGCAAAGCCGCCGACAATGGAAGAATTCGTACCTTTCGCCAATTCCAATTCCGAATCCGAAACAAACTCCAGGAGCAGCTCTACAGATTCGGACTCTCAGTCAATGCACGGCTCAATATCCGACCTCAAGACGCCACAACCGATAGAAATCATCAATTACTTAGAGTCTCACACGAGAAACTCTATACCGGCTTCTTGCGTCACGTATCGAAGAGTTAAAAAGACACCTTCTGAGATAGACATAGAAGGTCGATGCATCAGCGACATCACCGAAGATGACTGGTATCATACAGTGTGTTACTTCGGTTCGAGAAGCTTCATGAATCACTTTAAAAACTACCTATTTCCTAACCAGGTAGCGCCAAACTTGGGCTTCGCCGAACACGAAATCAGTCAGTCCAAATCGATCCCAGGAAAAATTTTCTGTTCAAAAGAAGGCATACCGCACGAAGTGATTCCGGCATTGCAATGCAGCTGGCCGTCTGATCAGACTTTGGGGTTTATAATGAAAGGCGAGAAGGATAACGGTAAGAGGAAAATACGGATATTCCCAACGGAGTCGATGATAAACGAAATTAGGAATATGGCTTGCGCTTTAGTGCCCAGGGGGTACTTCAAGAAGCATGGAGAGAGACTGAATAGTGATATTGAGTGGGAAATTATGTTTCCTCAGGCAGAAAGGTATGTGAAATTTCAAAAAGCTTATACAGGATGTCCAGAATGCGTAATGAGATATAAGGCCTTCCTTTTAAAAATAGACAGATGTTGATGATCTTTTTAAGCGAATAGTCGATATTCAATAATATCTTCGGATAGATAAGAAGATAAAACTATATTCTACAGTTATAAAGTACATCCTCCATTCTAAGATGGCGCCCAGAAATAACTCCATGTTCGAGAATTTCAGCTTGTGTTCAAAAAATAATTGTTACGGGACCTTTATTTTTATTCTATAGGCTTTGGCAAAAGTATCCGAACGGCTCGATAAGTCTTTGAGGGGAAAGGGGGAAATGGTTTGAATAAAAGTTGTAGGATTTTCCATCATCTATCGGTCGGTCACCTTGGATTCAACCTTGATTTTGACGTTGAAGGTTATTTGAAGGTCAACTTTAGAATTTCAAATGCAAAACCGTCATATTTGACCTTGAGTAAACCCTCAATCTAGGGGGTAATGCTTCAAATAAGAGTTGTAGGATTTTCCCTTGTATTCGATGATGACCTTGACCTCGAAGGTCATTTGAAGGTCAACTTCAAAAATTTAAACGTAAATCTCTATTTTTGACCCGGCAATTAGACGAGCGAATAATTTTACGCGCAGGGGGTACTTTAAGAATCATGTAGAGAGACTGAATAGTGATATAGAGTGGGAGATTATGTTTCCTCGGCCAGAAAGGTATGTGAAATTTCCAAAAGCTTATACAGGATGTCCTGAATGCGTAATGAAATATGAGGGAAATGGTTTGAATAAAAGTTGTGGGATTTTCCATCAACTATCGGTCGGTCACATTAGATTCAACCTTGATTTTGAAGTTGAAGGTTATTTGAAGGTCAACTTTAGAATTTCAAATGCAAAACCCTTACTCTTGTTTCCGATCAAACATGATCTTGAATAGCCGTCATATTTGACCTTGAGTAAACCCTCAATCTAGGGGGTAATGCTTCAAATAAGAGTTGTAGGATTTTCCCTTGTATTCGATGATGACCTTGACCTCAAAGGTCATTTGAAGGTCAACTTCAAAAATTTAAACGTAAATCTCTATTTTTGACCCGGCAATTAGACGAGCGAATAATTTTACGATCATAGATGACCTTGAATGACTTTCATATTTGACCTTGAATGGCCTATATATGATCGAGCCCTTAACATTGCCTCAGTTACCCGGGAGTTGATTCAAAGTCAAATATGAGGGTCTTTCAAGGTCAAATCTGAACTTAAAATTTTTCGATCAAACATGATCTTGAATGACCGTCTTATTTGACCATAAGTGATCTCTTCAAGTAAAATTTATAGGATCTTCTCTCAAATAGCAGAAGTTGACATTAGACTCGATCATGACCTTGACGGTCATTTGAAGGTCAACATCGAAATCTTAAATGCAAACACCTATTTTGATCCGGCAATGAAACGAGCGAAACATTTTACGTTCAGATATGACATTGAGTGATCCTCATATTTGACCTTGAATGAGCACAATATGGCTGGGCTTGCCTCAGTATCCCTGAAGTTAATTCAAGGACAAGTATGAGGGTTATTCAAGGTCATGTCTGAACGTAAAATGATAATCTCTAATATCAGAAGTTGACCTAAGATTCGATCATGGCCTTGACTTCGAAGGTCATTTGAAGTTCAACTTCAAAATTTTAAATGTAAGTCCCTATTTTTTACGAAGCGATGAAACGAGCGAAAACTTTTACGTCAAACATGACCTTGAATGACCATCATATTTAACCTTAAATGGTCACCACAACTACCACTATATGTCCAGGTCCCAAGCCTTAGTGGGCCGGGAGGTCAACCAATGTCAAATATGAGGCTCATTCTAGCACATATCTGAACGTGAAATGTTTCGCTGGTTTCATTGCCGATGTCAAACATAGGCGTTGGTGGTTAAAATTTTGAAGTTGACCTTCAAGGTAAAAGTGAAGATCACCTGAGGAAGAATCCTACAACTTCTGTTAGAAGCATTTTCCTCTATAATGCATTCCTAAAGACATCGATATCCAGCACTAGTGGTAGTTTGACCTTGAGGGATACGGAAGGTCAAAGATAAGTCACTCAAGGTCATGTTTGAACGTAAAATTTTCCATTATCGGAATCAAGAGTAAGGATTTAAATTTGGAATTTTAAAGTTGACCTTCAAATAACCTTCAAGTTCAAATCCAAGTGCCCACTACAATATTTGTAGGAAAATCTTAAAGCTTTTATTTGAAGCATTTCCCCTAAAATGTGTTCCCAACCTTCAAGGTTAAAACCAAGGTCGTATTCAAGGTCACCTATCGATAGCTGAGGGGGAAACCCTACAACTTTTGGTTGAAACATCCTATAATGCATTCCCAAAAAGTTATCGAACCGTTCCGTCACTTTTATATATATTTTTTTCTTTAGGTACCTAGAATCGTACATGTCTCACGCCCAAATCAAATGCTACTTAGTCCTGCTCGCGATCCACAAAACCTACATAGAACCAAAGACTCTGAATCTAGGTCTTCTACCCGAACACATTCGTTGTTTCATGTTGTGGGAATGTGAAACGAACTACAGCGACTGGCCGGAGCACAGATTGGGAACCAAACTGTACAATGTCGTGAGCAACTTGTACCAGCATTTGGCGAAGGGAGAACTGTACGATTACTTTGTGAAAGAGAAGAATTTGTTCCACAATATACAGAGGAAGTACCTTAGATTGGCGCAGAGGGTCTTGCACGGTATTTTGGAGACGCCGTTTGTAGGTAGGTCATGCCTTTTGGAATGATTTGACTCATATCTTCTCTTTGAAACCTGAAAGGCGTAGAAAGTCAATCTACTTGACGTCATTTTTTTATTGGTTAATTTAAAAAGATTGGGTCGATATTTCCTACTATAACTCCCTAGAGGGTAAACATGAGCATATCAAATATTGTGTACCTGTAGATACTTTTTAACCAGCATATCTTTAAAGTATCTGAATTTTGTAATAAATACACCTGTACTCTGTAAAAGCATTCCACTTCCACTTCAAGAAATTACGGATAACTAATGGGTGATTTTTTTGCTAGTATCTTTTTGGCAACACTGTTTTTGACAGATGACGCGTGAATCGTGTCTTGTGTCATTGTCAAACTTGTTCAGTTTGGTCTATAATTTAACCATGAATCGACTTACGAACGAACAACGCTTGCAAATTATTGAATTTTACTATCAAAATTCATGCTCGGTTACGAGAGTGCATCGAGCACTGCTTCCAATTTATGGGCAACGTGGTCGGCCTACTGAGGGAGCTATTCGGAAGCTTGTGACTAAATTTCGAACCCAGTTTACATTATTGGACATTAAACCACCAACACGCAGACGTAGAGTGAGGGCTGAAGAAAATATTGCGGCTGTATCCGCCAGTGTTAGTGATGACCGTGAAATGTCGATTCGCCGCCGTTCGCAGCAATTGGACCTTGCGCATGGGCCATCTAAAGCGGAGCCGCGGCCAACATTTACATGAAATAATCTTTAAACATTAAATTATATCGACCGTTCTATCGACTCAAATAAAGATTTAATCGTTTTTTCAATTTTTTTGTGTTTTTTTTAAAAATCAAATCCTATACCTTTTAAAAAATCACCCGTTAGAATTTCAATCTGTTGCTCTCAATAACTTAAGAATTTGTATTTGTTAACATATTTCATGCTTCATGGGACCTGAGTCTGGAATTAGTGTTCGATTCTCTCCAATTTCTGAACTTTATCTGACCCAAAATCGTTCCAGGTTGTTACAAAGCCCTGAGGAATTTGAGGTACATAGACGGAAAATCGTTTTATCCGCCTTTAGACTTAAAGAAAATCTACGAAATTCTAGTAGACAGTAAGATGAAACGTTCGCAAGAAGAAGTAGTGAAAACTATCGAAATTAAAGACTTGAATCAACTAGATGTTTTGGAGCTGAAATGGAGACAGGTGCAGGAGACAAAGAAGAAAGAAGAGTTAAAAAAGTTGGAAGAAATACGGAGAGATTCCGAGGATTCTATAGATATGGATGTAAGTTGTCAAAATATTTATAATCCAGAATATGTGGCCAGTTTTCTGAATTTATGTAGAACACATTTTAGCGTTATTTTTCCATACATTGTATTCAATATGCTTCTTATTTTTGTTGTTGCAGATTTATTTAGCAATGTCAATTTTGTATAATGATACGGTTACATATTTTTCTTCAATCCTTTTTCTGTAATTTTACATTCTTGTCTATTAAAATTAAAACTAAAACTACGTCACTACGCATTTTGATTATTCATGAAGTGATTATTTAATTTCACCTTAAACATTTTTAAATTCGATTTAATATAATTATTCAATTTATTAAATCAAATACTCCCTATTTAAATATAGATTTACTAGTTATGCTACTATTACAATTTGGCAGATGAAAATCTATACTGCCTCTAGTTTCGTAGTTATGATAATAACTATTTAATTTTGTGAGGTTCTCTAAATGTGGTGGTAATAAATGATTTTTTAATTTGAATATGAAAACGAGAACTAAATAATATATGAAATTTTTCACATCCAACCACTGCAGTTCTTCTAACATAGACTCAGTTTTAGCATATTTGTTCTTATTTAAAATGATTCTCAAAGCTTTATTTTGTAGAATTTTTGTAGCTTTGAAAATATGTTTTCATTTGCTGTAAACAAGATAGTTGAACAATATAAAAAATGGAGAAGAATGATAGTGTTATACACAATTAAATTAGATATAATATAGATTATAGGAAACTCTATAGAAGTAACTAATCTTTTTCGATATTTTTGAAATAATGTATTCATAATGTTCTATTTCGAAAATACTGTTCGATCTAAGAAAAGGTCAAGAAGGAAGTAACACAGTTTTGAGACTACCTGACATTGTATAAAAATTGATTCCTTTATACACGGTGGCGCATCTAAAACGAAACAGACGCATTTATTGGCAGCTCAGTTTTTTTTTTAAAAACGTGCAGACCCGTCGATTTTGTTTTCGAGGGGGACACAAGTTTGGCAAAAGATCACGTTAACACGTGCAGCCCCCTGGGAGAGGGTGACACCAACCCTAAAATCTTAAATGGAAAGGGGGGTCGAGGGATACCTTATTTTAAAGGTCTTTCAATTCGCTCTATAATGATATAAAATTAATGTACTTCAATTCAGTACTTTTGAAGTTTTATTGATTTAAAGCTTAAAGTAGACTTTAATAGGTACATCAGATTAGTTTGTAATACTTTCAGAAGAAACTTGACTAAAAGAATGTACTTAATAAGTAAATGCTTTTCTTCACTATGCCCATGGTTTGTTTATTATTTTATTGTTGAAAATAGCTATTGGAGCGTTTTCTTGTGGCAAAAAAGTTATTTCTTGAGATAATAAAATATCTCCTACTTATTTTAAATAGGAATTTAGTACATAGTTTGCGATTGATTTGACCAAATTGAAAGACCTTTAAAATAAGGTATCACTCGACCCCCCTTTCCATTTAAGATTTTGGGGGTGGTGTCACCCCCGCTTAGGGGGCTGCACGTGCTAACGTGATTTTTTGCCAAACTTGTGTCCCCCTCGGAAACAAAATCGACGGGTCTGAGGGTTTTTCGAAAAAAAAAATGAGCTGCTTTCAGTTTTTCGACAATAACCTGCAATACCCTGTATGATGTCTTTTCAGTGGATGTGTGAGAAAACACTGGACCTTCTCAAAAGACAGCCGCTCCTCAGCCATTTCATCAATTTCTTCATAGACTTAGCAACGAAAAGTTCGAAAATATCAACCAAGAAACAGACGTTGCTTTATTTCAAGCAAGCGCGATATCTGACGAGAATTCTCAAAGACGAAAAACATTTCATGGAGGAAGCCGAGGAATTCCTGGACGCTATCAATAAAACAGAAAGGGAATGTATGAAGGAATTTAGAGAAGCACCTGGAAAAACTGTGACTTTTGACACTAGTGATTTTGTGATAGTGAATGGTAACGATACAGTGTGAAGTGATAGGACTCATGAGAATAATATGACGTTTCTGCGCATTAACAGGCTAGACACGCGTTTTAAACACTTAATATTTGTTCTGTTAGACAAAAAAAATAATACTATATTTTTTCAGACTTGAAAAACCGTAAAATTTCAAGTCAAAAATACATTTTTCTTAAACAGGCGAAAACGCTGTCCGCCATGTTTCAATAAAAAAAAGAAAACGATATCTGTTTACGTTGATTGGGGGCTTTAAGTCGACAAGTGACATATGTGTGACGTTTCTTTGTTTACAATTTGTATGACGTCATATCATGGCCGAAACATTTTTTTTAAATTGGCTTCATACCTATATACATTTTGTAAAAACTGAAATCAGTATATTTCGTTTCGCTAACCTAAAAACCTATAAAAATACTCATTTATACTATGAAATTTGGTATGAGCCTATTATTGATAATTTCAAAAAGTCCATCTGAAAAGGTTTGCTATTTCAAATATTTTGAACGTCGCGTCGGTTAGATTCACAAAGATACTTTGTGATATATTTACTGATATGCTAAAAAAATCGGTTAGAACTGGTAATCCATGGTAAAAAATGTATACAGAATCGTAATACGATAATTAAGGCTGAATATCAGATTTTTTTTATCTTAATAGTACTTCATAATATTTCTAGGGATTTAATAATCCCATTTTCAGTAATTTAGTTTGTTAATCTGAAATAACGATCGTATCAATCATTTTAAATAATCCTTTGAATCCTATAATCCGACAATCATCTGAAAGAGTAGAGTACTAAAAAATAGCAAAATATGTAACTAAAACATTCATTGTGTTGAAAAATCCTAAAATTAATTATTGTATTTCACATGCTTTTGACGCTGGTTCGTCTAGATTGTTAAAGATATATTACATTCTTGCACGAAACTTATTTACCACCTAAACACATGCAAAGAATTGAAAATGTGATAATGTGCCAACGCTGTATATAAAATCCATGTATAGTTTTAACTTTTTTATTTATTTTATTTTGTGTGTCTATGTAACGTTTTTTTTGTTCTGTTATTGAGACTTGTTGATGACCAACTGGGGAGGTCCTTATTTTCAATATCATGTTCTAATAGAAAATAGAACTTCCATTACTTAATATTACCACTATCTATGTCTATCATAGTTAGATACATTACGTGTATACAATTATAATGCTGTTTTTGAACAGGTTATTTTTTGTTTAACCAATCCTTTTTTATAATTATTTCCTATTTTTCACTTTTGCTTTTTTCTTTCGCTTGCTTTTTTCTTTTAATAATTTCTTTTATTTTGATATATTTTTTTATGTTTCTACTTTTTGAACTCACTGTAATTTTCATCTTATAATGTTACGCCTACTTTCCGACAATGCTTGTATAAGAGTTCGCAATCATGCTCGTTCTCAGACTGAGAATTGAGTCTAAATTTAGAGGCAAAGGTAGGTATTTCGCGAAAATTTTAAAGTATTTTCTATACTAGAATTTGGACATTTTTAATTTGACGTACTGTGCAGGGAATACCAGATTTGTCAACACATCCGCTCGCTGTCGCAAAATATAACAAATACCATTGCGCAATACAAATTATCACTTGAAAACCATCCCAAAGCAGGACGACACTCCCCAATGAGCGCTAAAAGGATACTGACCAAAATCGCCCATCTTTGATCATGGAGGTGGAAACCTTGCCTTGGAATGTACGAGATGCGGTGTTGCCAAGCGAATCAATTTTGAAATGTTGCAGAATTTGTGGCAAAGCTAACAGAATTTACACAATTACTAATTCAAAAATGTGTACGCTCAAAATTAAGCCACCATTTGAGCGTAGAGAACAAACGAGCGCATATTTTCAGCATGCGTTTTAATCCAAGTCAGATTGACTGGTCAGCGTTGCTAGGCATCATGTCGGTACCCCATTCTTGATTTATGGTTCTAATTTAAATACGATTGGTAGTCCCTTGAAACCAAGGTCTGCTTCGAAGAGTATCTTGTATTCAAAATAGGTGTTGTCAGATTTCGGCTAGCAGCACGCGCGATGGGAACCCTATTTTTGGGACAACCCTCGTATATAAAAGTGTGAAACTTGAACTTACGTCAACTCCGTGTTCATTGTAGAAATCAGCTGTACCTAAACTGGCGTACAATTTATATCCCATTTTTTGCAATGCTCTCATGCTAGGTAATAGTTCCATTTTATGCTAAAAAAATAATTTATCGTAAGATAGTGTGATATAAAACAGTTGTTTTTTTATTTTACCTTGAAGCTGCCTATAGACAAAAGTATGGACTTCCTTGGTATACTGAATCCTGTGCTCATCATGGCTTTCAAATACGCTTCGTACCTGGAAAAATATACTAAAGTCTAGTACCGAAACGGAAGAAAGTAATGCGTATTTTACTTGGGTGATTTCAGGCAATGCTCATAAAGGATTAGGTTCAGAACTTTCTACCTTACTGCAAATGTAGTTCCAGGATATATCGCTTGATTATTGACCGACTTTTTTTATCAAAAATCTTATAAACCGTAACTTTTTTGTGGAATCTAGTAGTTTGCGAACAAGAGAACTATTTCTTATACCAATTTCCAAATTTGAACTACGAAATACACTTTCTTATCTTTATTTTATAACCCTTCCCCCGTTTCCGTCTTGACGTCGACTTCTCGAACACCCTGTATAGGGTCTCTAAGGAAAGGCCATGCGAGTGTTGGTAGAACATTTCTAATAAAAACGTATTCCGCACTACGCAATGTTGCTGACAGATCATTTTCATAAATACGCAGTGGGATGAGTCCTCCTCCCCTCCCCCTCTCACCTGTTGTCTCCAAAGCAGGCGACCTCTCCAGTGGACGCCATTTCAACGCCCAGCATAAAGTCTGCCCCTGCCAATCGAGAGAAAGAAAACTGTGCGACTTTTACCCCCACTTTTCCACATCCGTGCCAAACGTCGACAGGTTCGACATGCTCGCCGACGATGACACGCGTTGCCATAGCGACGAAGTCGTGGTCGAGCGTTTTCGAGACGAATGGGAAGGATCTCGAGACGCGGACGTTGCACTCTATGACCTTGAACAAAAAAAAAATGAAATTGCAATATGTCTAAATAAATTAACTTTTTTTCTTGTCCTTGTTATGAGGTTTACAAAAACGCGAGGAGGTATTCAAATGGTACTCTGCTCCTGCTATGAGATAAGAACGGAATCCAAATCCATGGCAACGATACCTCTTGCCGTTTCTGCGATCCTGATACAGATCGTCTCTGAAAATCGCAATGTCGACCAAACTTTTATCGTAAAATTGGTGAACGACGAGTTGCTATCAGGATAACAAAAACGTGAGAGGTATGAAAATGGTACGCTGCTCCTGCTTTGAGATAAGAACGAAATTTCAATCCATGGCATCGATACCTCTTGCCGTTTCTGCGATCCTGATACAGATCGTCTCTGAAAATCGCACTGCCGACCAGACTTTTTTCTTAAAATTGGAGGACGATGAGTTGCTATCAGGATCACAGACACATGAGAGGTATGAAAATGGTACGCTGCTCCTGCTTTGAGATAGGAACGAAATTTCAATCCATGGCATCGATACCTCTTGCCGTTTCTGCGATCCTGATACAGATCGTCTCTGAAAATCGCACTGTCGACCAGACTTTTCTCGTAAAGTTGGTGGACGACGAGTTGCTATCAGGATCACAGACACATGAGAGGTATGAAAATGGTACGCTGCTCCTGCTTTGAGATAGGAACGAAATTTCAATCCATGGCATGGATACCTCTTGCCAATTCTGCGATCCTGATACAGATCGTCTCTGAAAATCGCACTGCCGACCAGACTTTTTTCTTAAAATTGGAGGACGATGAGTTGCTATCAGGATCACAGACACATGAGAGGTATGGAAATGGTACGCTGCTCCTACTTTGAGATAGGAACGAAATTTCAATCCATGGCATCGATACCTCTTGCCGTTTCTGCGATCCTGATACAGATCGTCTCTGAAAATCGCACTGTCGACCAGACTTTTCTCGTAAAGTTGGTGGACGACGAGTTGCTATCAGGATCACAGACACATGAGAGGTATGAAAATGGTACGCTGCTCCTGCTTTGAGATAGGAACGAAATTTCAATCCATGGCATCGATACCTCTTGCCGTTTCTGCGATCCTGATACAGATCGTCTCTGAAAATCGCACTGCCGACCAGACTTTTTTCTTAAAATTGGAGGACGATGAGTTGCTATCAGGATCACAGACACATGAGAGGTATGAAAATGGCACGCTGCTCCTACTTTGAGATAGGAACGAAATTTCAATCCATGGCATCGATACCTCTTGCCGTTTCTGCGATCCTGATAGAGATCGTCTTTGAAAATCGCACTGTCGACCAGACTTTTCTCGTAAAGTTGGTGGACGACGAGTTGCTTTCAGGATAATAGAAACGTGAGGATATGAAAATGGCATGCTGCTCCTACTTTGAGATGATAAGAACGAAATCCACATCCATGGCATCAATTCCTCTTACCGTTTCTGCGATCCTGGTGCAGATCTATAGGTTTCTGAAAATCGCACTGTAGATCAGGCTTTTCTCGTAAAATTGGTGAACGACGAGTTGCTATCAGGATAACAGAAACGTGAGGGATATGAAAATGGCATGCTGCTCCTACTTTGAGATGATAAGAACGAAATCCACATCCATGGCATCAATTCCTCTTACCGTTTCTGCGATCCTGATGCAGTTCTATAGGTGTCTGAAAATCGCACTGTAGATCTGTCTTTTCTCGTAAAATTGGTGAACGACGAGTTGCTATCAGGATAACAGAAACGAGAGGAATATGAAAATGGCATGCTGCTCCTACTTTGAGATGATAAGAACGGAATCCACATCCATGGCATCAATTCCTCTTACCGTTTCTGCGATCCTGATGCAGACCTATAGGCTTCTGAAAATCGCACTGTCGATCAGACTTTTCTCTTAAAATTGGAGGACGACGAGTTGCTATCATGATCACAGACACGTGAGAGGTATGAAAATGGTACGCTGCTCCTGCTTTGAGATAAGAACGAAATTCCAATCCATGGCATCGATACCTCTTGCCGTTTCTGCGATCCTGATACAGATCTATAGGTCTCTGAAAACCACACTGTCGGCCAGACCTTTATCGTAAAATTGGTAGACGACGAGTTGCTATCAGGATAACAGAAACGCTACTGGGTATGTGCATTTTACTCTGCTTTGCTTCATGATAACTAAAAATTAAATTTCCTAAAATGAAAATGAAGCTTTGATGTAGATCATAGACGCGTAATAGTTGGATATTTTTTATTAGCTGTTCTCAAAGTAGAATTCTTGCCAGTATCTCTAAAACGAGGCATTTCTGGACTGAATGGATATGTTAAGAGTTTGCGCGTGGCACGTGGTATGTTATTTTTTGCAAAAAGCAAACAACAAGACCTGATTGTTAATTCAAATCGGTTATCGGAAACTCGCCATGGAAATTTTTGGAAACACATTTTGGTGCTTCTTATTTGCTTCTTAACATAAGTATATCTAATGTTCAAAAGGGTATAAATATGTTAGAAAAATGATAGAGTAGATGCTAACCTTGAGAACGTTGTCTTTTGCAATCAACTGCATATTGAAAGGTCCGGTGACTTCCAGTGATGCGGCAATGGATTTTGTTATCTGCTTGATTTGCTTTAACGTTTCTGGGTTGATATCTTGTGGAGGAGTGACCAAAGTTGCATCTCCAGAATGTACCTATAATTGCAAATAAAAAGAAACAATGAAAAATTCGAGATGTACAAGGAGTTATAGGCAGATGAAAGTACGCTAAGCTGGTCACATTGGCCCTGCATTATCTGAAACTCAATCATCTTCAAGTTTAAATAATATCGATGTTACATTATTTTTCCAATCTATTTACAAATAAACCCTTATGCCAGATATATTTTTTTAAAAGGCAACATTCTAGGTTCGACTTTCTCATGAAATCGGTATATTCAGATGTTTGGATGAAATCTTATCACTAATAAGGATTTCAGAGGGTAAACATTGATATGGTTTTGTCTCCTAAGTCCCTCATTTCATCTGGAGTACCGCAAGGATCTGTGCTTGGACCACTGTTATTCATTTTATTTATATCTGCTCTACAAGCCACTGTAAAACATTGCAATATTTAGTTCTTTGCCGATGATTCTCAAATTTATAATCATTTTCGTAATCGCAACATTCAAGCAGCCGGTTCGGAGGTCAATGAGGATCTTAAATCTATTAGTGATTACGCAAAAAGTCCAGTTGAACCCCTAAAAATCAAAGATGCTTTTTTCACCAAAACCTTTTAGAAACGATTTCAAAAATAATTTTAGTATATGCCTAAATGGTTCTACTAATGAGGCAAGTGAATTGGTCAAAAATTTTGCTATTACTTTTGATGTATATCTCAAGTTTATACGTGAACAAGGTCGTTCGAAGGTAAAGTGGATTTTCTTAAATGGAAATTCCTATTTTTGACACCGGAAATGTGAAGACCTCAAAATGCATTCGAGTATGTCATTGCCCCTGACCCTAACTATGACCTCCAAAGATCATGGTCAAAGTCACGTTCAAGGTCACTACTACATGACACTTCTTGAATCTAACAACTTTTTTTCGTAACATTTGTCTCTAGGATATGTTTAACTGTAACCTTGGTTGTTACCTTCAAGGTCATTTGAAGGTCAAGAGGATTTTCTTGAAAGGAAACCCCTATTTTGGACACTGGAAATGTAAAGCGCTTGAAATGCATTCGAGTATATCCTACACCATGACTCTATGATGTCTAAAGGTCATGGACAATGTCACGTTCAAGGTCACCACTAGGTGACCCTTTTTAAATCTCACAACTTTTTTCGTAACATTTGATTCTAGGGTATCCTTGACTGTGACCTTGATCATTACCTTCACGTTCATTTGAAGGTCAATATGATTTTCTTAAAATGTCACCCCTATTTTTGACACCGCAAGGATCTGTGTTTGGACCACTGTTATTCATTTTATTTATACCTGCTCTACAAGCCACTGTAAAACATGGCAATATTTAGTTCTTTGCCGATGATTCTCAAATTTATAATCATTTTCGTAATCGCAACATTCAAACAGCCGGTTCGGGGGTCAATGAGGATCTTAAATCTATTAGTGCAAAAAGTCAAGTTGAACCCCTAAAAATCAAAGATGCTTTTTTCACCAAAACCTTTTAGAAACGATTTCAAAAATAATTTTAGTATAAGCCTAAATGGTTCTACCAATGAGGCAAGTGAATTGGTCAAAAATTTTGCTATTACTTTTGATAAATATCTCAAGTTCATACTTGAACAAGGTAAGTAAGAGTTGCCAACGCCAACTATGACTCAATGAACAATTTCCTAACAATAAAACTAAAAAAAAAATATGTGAATCAATATCTGTGTCAAAAATCACTTACTGTTTATCTACCATTTCCAAATACAACATCCCTTGCACGTCTTCTAACAATTCAACATTTTTGAGTATATGCATGTATAAAATTCTACTGAAAAACTTGTACTTGGGATCAGACATTATTATTAATAATAACTGAATAACGTTATCGATGCTTCTTCTTTCAGTCTATGTCTCCTTTTTATCACTAAGGGCCGTATCATCAGTCGATCATACAATTGTGGGACGCCTTTATGGCATCCTAAATTTCCATAGTCTTTTCTCTCTTCCAGAAATGCTGCTATATTTCTAAATTTCTACTGTTCCGTGTCAGCGTCAACGCTCTTCTAGTTATGCCTTCTTTTTGAATTGTGGGGAATTTCAGGCTGATACAACGGAAGTTAAAAATCAAAAGCATGAACAGTGTGATGCAAATAAATAAAGCAAAATAAAGCGCGTTTCTGAATGACAGGAAAAGTTATGAAAATCAAGGAGGCTATAAAGGCGTTCTACAATTGTAAGAACGACTAACGATACGATCCTAACAAAACACTATCGTACAGTTCCTTGAATCTCACCCCTGCATTCTCAACATGCTCCGAGACAGCCATGCACAAAATGACCCCATCGCAAGCAATGGCATCGACGTCTATCTCCTTGGAATCCTGGATAAACTTGGAAATGACCACCGGATGTTCCTTGCTGACGTCACTAGCCGCGTTCAGGTAGGTTTCCAGGTCCTGGTTGGAATGGGCTACGTTCATAGCAGCCCCGCTTAGAACGTATGAGGGCCGGACGAGGCATGGGTAGCCTACTTCTTCGCAGAACCCTATCGCTGACTTTAGGTTGGTTAGTTCCTTCCACCTTGGCTGCATTATACCTACAAGGCGTACAGATTGTTGTCAAGAGAAGTGAAGAAAGAACCGCGTCTATGAGGTGCTTAAATGTGAATGTAACAATAACTCAGGATCAAATAGAATCTTCTATCTATTTCTAACATGTGTTGGTACGCACTTCTCGCGTATACATACCTGTCCTGTCGAGCATCCTAGAAAACTTGAACCTATTCTCGGCGCCGTCAATGGAATCAGGGGAGGTACCAAGTATCCTAGCTTGTTGCCTGTGCAGATCAATGGCTATATTGTTGGGCAGTTGCCCTCCCATGGATAATATTATGCCAGTAGGGTTTTCGAGATTGTAAATATCCATAACGACCTCGAACGAGATTTCTTCGAAATATAACCTGTCCGACATGTCGTAGTCAGTGCTGACTGTTTCTGGATTGTAGTTGATCATGATCGTTTTATGACCGAGTCTCCTGAGCTCCCTGAGGCAACCGACAGCGCACCAGTCGAACTCGACTGAGCTGCCTATTCTATATACCTGAAAACAACAGAAAGCTATTCGAAAAGTGAAAAAAAATATAACGAGAGTCCATCGAAACATCTCAAAAAATGTTTCCTATAGAGAAATATTGTAAAGGATAGTTTGAAAAGGGTCACCTAATGATAACCCTGATTGTGGACTTGATTATTACCTTCAAGCTCATTTGAAGGTCAAGAGGATTTTCTTAAAAGGAAACCCCTATTTTTGACAGCGGAAATGTAAAGAGGTTAAAATGCATTCGATTATATCCTGGACCATGTCTTTATGATCTCCGTACGTCATGGTCAATGTCACGTTCAAGGTCACCACTAGGCCGACGCTTTTTAAATCTTTTTTCGTAATATGCGTCTCTAGGAAATACTTGCCTGTGACCTTGAGTATTAACTTCAAGGTCATTCGAAGGTCAAGAGGATTTTCTCAAATTGCAACGCCTATGTCTGACATCGGAAATGTGAAGAGCTCAAAATGCATTCGACTATGTCCTTGCCCATGACAGTAACTATGAGCATCAATGATTATGGTCAAGGTCACGTTCAAGGTCACTACTAGATGAGACTTTTTAAATCCAACAACTTTTTTTCGTAACTTTTGACTCTAGAATATTCTTGACAGAGACATTGTTTGTTACCTTCAATATCATTTGAAGGTCAAGAAGATTTATTTAAAAGGAAACCCCTATTTTTGACTGCGGAAATGTCAAGAGCTTAAAATGCATTCGAGTATATCCTTGACCATGACTCTATTATCTCCAAAGGTCATGGTCAATGTCACGTCTAGGTTTCCACTAGGTGATCCTTTCTGAGTCTCACAACTTTTTTTGGTAACATTTGTCTCTAGGAAATACTTGATTGTGACCTTGAGTATTACCTTTAAGGTCATTCGAAGGTCAAGAGTATTTTCTTAAATGGAAACCCCCATTTTTGACTCCGGAAATGTGAAGAGCTCAAAATGCATTCGAGTATGCCCTTGCCCATGACCCTAACTATGACCTTCAAAGATCATGGTCAAGGACACGTTCAAGGTCATTACTAGATGATTCTTTTTGAATCCAACAACTTTTTTTGTAACATTTGTCTCTAGACATTTTTAATGCAGCCTTGGCTGTTACCTTCAAGGTCATTTGAAGGTCAAGAGGATTTTCTTAAAGGAAACCCCTATTTTGGACACTGGAAATGTAAAGCGATTGAAATGCATTCGAGTATATCCTACACCATGATTCTATGATCTCCAAAGGTCATGATCAAGGTCACGTTCAAGGTGACCCCTTTTAAATTTCACATCTTTTTGCATAACATTTGTCTTTAGGATAGTCGTGACTGTGGCCTTGATCATTACCTTCAAGGTCATTTGAAGGTCAATATGATTTTCTTAAAATGACACCCCTATTTTTGACACCGGAAATGTAAAGAGCTCAAAATGCATTCGAGCATGTTGTTGCGCATGACCCTAACTATGACGTCCAACGGTCATAGTAAATGTCACGTTCAGGATCACTACTAGATGACCTTCCTAAATCTCTCAACTTTGTTTCGTAACTTCTGTCTCTAGGAAAGAAGTTATTCAGATAGTTTTTCCTTTTCATAATTTTGGAGGCTGTTCAAAAAATGAAAAAGTTATACAGCAAAAAGTATAGAAACATCGAAATATCTTAAGAAATATATTTACAATAGAAGAGTATTGTAAAAAAGTTGTAAGGTTTGAAGAAGCCGACGTTTACTGTGACCTTGATAATTACCTTCAAGGCCATTTGAAGGTCAGCATTTTCTTGAATGGAAACCCCAGTTTTTGACACTGAGCTTAAATTATGTTCGGGTATGACCTTGACCTCAACTCTGACTATGACCTTTAAGTTTATTTGAGTGTTTCAAAACGTACGACAACGACAAAATATCCCGAAAAATGTTTCCTAGAGAAAAATAATACAAGATTGTCAGATTTGAAAACGTCAAATGAGCTCGAAGGTCATAGTCAAGGTCAAATACACTTTTAGGTAAACTCTATACTTTTTGTTGCCGCAATGAAAAAGCGAATAATTTGTTGGTCCAAAAACCAAGGTCATTTGGAGGGTAAATGCATTTGTAGCGGGATATTAATATGGTTCCTCCCGGAAAAGTAATTTCACGTCCCGCTTGATCCTCGACCGTTGTAAAACCTTGACAGTCACTATCAAGGTCACGTTCAAGGTCTCGATAAATGTTAGGTTGAAGGTCAGGACAAAATACGGTTGTGTCATTTGAGTTTAAATAAGTACGATAACGACAAAAATATCTCGAAAAACCAGTTTCCAGGAGAAAAATGCTACAAAATTGTCAAATTTGAAAACGTGACCTTGACCTTCAAGGTTTTACAATTGTCATATGATCTTCAAGGTCACGGTGGAGGTTAACTACACTTTTAAGTAAAATATCTATTCTGTCACGACGAAATGAAAAAAGCGAATAATTTTTTGGTCAAGGTTATTTGGAGGGTAAATGCATTCTCAAAGGGATATTAATTATGCTTGCTCACGGAAAAGTAATTTCACGTCCTTCTTAATCCCCGACCGTTGTAAAACCTTGAAAGTCACCGTCCAGGTCACTTTCAAGGTTACGTTCAATGTCACCATTAGACAACCCTTTTTAAACCTCACAACTTTGTTCCGTAACATCTTTCTCTAGCAAATGTACTTTTCATACTTTTTGAAACTCTCAAATGACCTTAAAGGTCAAGGTCATGCGCAAGGAGATATTTGAACATAACATTTTGAGATATTTGCATTTTCTGTATCGTATTATAGGAGTTTACATTGAAGAAAACCCTATTGATTTTGAAATGACATTGATAAAGTCAAGGTCACACTCAAGGTCATTCTTTTTGCACGCACTGTATGAGATAGTTTACTTTATTTTGATTTCAGTCTGAAAAAATATATGAGGACTTAAACATTTTCTCCAAACTTATAACTCAGATTTGCTCAAGTGCGTCTAAGATACGAATAAAAGAAAAATGAACCAACCCCGGAGCCAATAACCATAGTGTGTTGCTCGTTGAAATCAACATCATGGCTAGCCGCGTTATAAGTCAGATACAGATAATTCGTCGCGGCTGGCCATTCCGCGGCGACAGTGTCGATCTGTTTGACGTACGGGGTGACGTGAAACTCTTCCCTTTGTTTTCTCACGGCCAACTCTGTGCTTTTGACAGCCGCAGCGATCTGCTTGTCGGAGAAGCCGAGCTGTTTGGCGTGAAGTAAAGCGGAATGGTTCAGGCTTTTCTGGTCGAGTTGTTCTAGTTGGGTGGTGAAGTCGATGATGTTTTTCATTTTTTGCAAGAACCATCTGGAACAAAAACAGAATGTCAATTAGTGTCAAGAAGACAAGGTAGTTTTTAGCAAATAGTTCATCCCACGTTTGCTCGCTGTGAGCGTCATAAAAAGCGTCCATCTACTGAGGAATGACTCAACGACACGACACGATCAAGCGTGCATTGTTGGTTGCAGATAGCCAAGTAGTATTTATCTCTGAGGAGACTAAATTTTGTAGAATATCGGAAAAAGTAAAAAAATTAATATTGCTGACGTAATCACCATCCAGACGTCACCATCGCCCATGTCATCTAAAAAAAAAGCAAAGCAACATGTCCCTTGTTTTAAAAGTTTGTTCAGCCACCTGTATACAGCAGTATTCTAAATCCTTTTCATTTGATAATTACATGGTGTATAGAGAGATAACTAAAAAACAATGTTATCATTTTTTTGTCAAAAAATGCATTTTTGTGCATTTAATTGTGCCTTTTTGCTTGAATCGGAACTTGTTAACAAATATAAGTACAGCTCTGAAATTGTATGCGAATATTTCTCTTTTATGGAAGAATGAAACAAGTGACTATTTTTGTTCCTACCAATTTTCCTTTTCGAAAAATCTTTGATTTTCTTGAAGCCTCGTCTCGCAGCAAGTTGAGTTTTCAAGGAAGGCAAAGATTTTTCGAATACAAAAAATGATATGAATGAAAGTAATCACTTGTTTCATTCTTCCATAAAAGTGGAATATTCACATACAATTTCGGAGCTGTGCTAATATTTGTTAACAAGTTACGATCGTAGAAAAAATCCACAATAAAATTCACAAAACAAAATTAAAAACGGTGTTTTTTAGTCATCTCCATACAAATCATCAAGTAATCAGATGAAAATAAGGATTTAGAATACTGTTGCAAACAGGTAGTTGAGAAAAGGCGAAAAAAGGGATGTGGGGCTTTAAGACCCCCACCTCTCTTTAGTTCTTACGTAATACTGGAATGGTCAATTATTCAGTCTCATCAATGGACAGAGATTTACAACACGCTGTTTCTTGGTAATAGTAGTAAACTTTTTTTTGTTATTTCTGAATGTATATCCAACAGTAAAAATATTGTTACAATTTTCAGAAATTTCTTGCCTTTACCTGTCTATCTTAGTCAACTCGTACAACTTATCCACAGAATATCCATTTTTGATGGCTGCCGCAAGGACAAACATCCTTTTGTCAGTAGGCTCCTTGAGTTCATCGTCATTGACAGGCTTTATGTTGGGATCAAACCCGTTCACGTTCTCGTCCACCATTCGCAACGCTTTCTGGAATGCTTCTTCAAACTTTCTACCGATTGCCATCACTTCTCCTACGCTTTTCATAGAACTGCCTATTTTCGTGCTCACCTAGGGTTCAAAATAAGGTAACTTCATTGCAATGCAGTTCTACAAAACCACCAAAATCGTCAGCCTCTAGCGGTCACAGCGAACTGAAGTTGCCACAGTTTCAACCGATAGCTATACAAGCTCGAAGAGTGGTTTGTATTGTCTTATTTTGATAGATAACGAAAAGGCATAAGAACATACAGATATTATAAATAATGCTATCACTATGTCGGCATATGTTTTGTTTTATACAGGGTGACTTCGAAGTTGAGTCATTTATTTTAACAGTGAGTAGATCTGATCAAAAGAAATGTTTTTTTCCTTTACCATTTTTCTGGTAAAATTAAAGTAACAAAGTTATAGCCCTTTGGAAGTTTGAGTACCGCCCTGTCTCAATAATAATATTATGTGCTCGTGTTTGGCGACAACGGATATAATTCGCCTTATCGGTTCATCGCATCGGAAACAAAAAAGCGAAAGAATTTGGAACGATGTTTTTACAATTATTTCATTCCGTTGTATACAGTCAGTGTCAGTCGGTAGTGGATAGTGGTGTCTGTTGCGTGACTCAAACGAAATAAAAAATGGCACATGTTTATGCGGATCGGTTTCCCAATCGAGTGCAACCAACCCCTCGTGCCTTTGTTAATGTAGTGCAACGGGCTCGTGAATCAGGTGACTTAAGACCTCACATATGGACGGCATGCCGGTGCTCCAAAACCTCACGATCAAATACAGGTCCGCACTGAAATACTTGTCGGGAGGATACTTTATAAAACAAGGTAATTTTTTTTTTAATTTTTTTTTATTTTTACACACATATTTTGGCTTATCTTCCTTCTACAATCATTATCTGAAAATTAATGACTCAACTTCAAAGTCACGCTGTATAGATGAAAACTTTTATCTCTACTTCACTTTGCTGGGAAATATATTTTTTTGTAATTTTTATCGAACCTGGACACCATAGAAGAAAGATATCTCACCCTTGAAAACTTGTGTAGATCCCATCTAGGTATCTTGACCACGCAATAATCCAAACTAGGTTCGAAACACGCAGTAGTGACCCCAGTCACAGTATTATGTATATTTGGCAGGGGGTTCCCAAGAGCCAATTTGGCAGCCACATAAGCGAGAGGATATCCAGTGGCTTTGCTGGCAAGGGCAGAACTCCTGGATAATCTGGCGTTAACCTGTAACAAATTCGATTTCAAGACAAAGACATTTTCAAACCTAGCATACTCGTATAGTGCCCCGAACCAGATTCATACCATAAACAGACGCTTGGTCTCATTAGCTCTGCATCTATGAAACTCCATCATGGTCAAACGCAAATAGTAGCTTAATTAATTAATTAGGAAACCATGTTTGCACAGAGCTGTAATTTCCACCATTATCCTTAGATATTGTAACGCCCTCGAAACTGGAACAGTGAGGCACCTCCGTAACATCGACGCTTAGGCAACCAATCGTGCAACCAGAATATCGCGAGCGTTTGTGGCGTCATCAGGAAGGTTCGCGCCACATCGAGAAGTATCTACAGCAACAGCAAGAGAAATATTGATCAACCGTACGCGCACTAACAAAATCGAGGAAACGGGGCCGCTTTTCAACTAGTACAAGACCTTGCGTGTGATTATCTTGCAGATTGTGAAACGGTGCTTAGGAAAAACTGTGCAACAACGATTCTTAGTACTTTCTAACAAACCTCTATGATGTAGTATTCTTCAGATTCTGGGTTCAGAGCGTACTGAATGTTGCATTCCCCTACGACTCCTAGGTGGCGAATCACTTTGATCGCTGTGCTTCTCAACATGTTGTACTCTCGGTTGGAAAGAGTTTGGCTTGGCGCGACTACTATCGATTCGCCTGTGTGGATTCCAAGGGGATCGACATTTTCCATGTTACAAACCTGTTTATGAAAAAAAAAATATATGCAATACAAAAAAATGTAATAAAACAGTGCTCAATAGATTTACTAAACGTATTTATATATATGACATTTAGCAACATCCTCACATACTACAGTAAATTAATTTAAAATTATATATATACAGGGTGACTTCGAAGTTGAGTCATTTATTTTAACAGTGAGTAGATCTGATCAAAAGAATTGTTTTTTTCCTTTACCATTTTCCTGGTAAAATTAAAGTAACAAAGTTATAGCCCTTTGGAAGTTTGAGTACCGCCCTGTCTCAATAACGATATTATGTGGTCGTGTTTGGCGACAACGGATATAATCCGTCGTATCGGTTCATCGCATCGGAAACAAAAAAGCGAAAGAATTTGGAACGATGTTTTTACAGGTATCTCATTCATTTGTATACAGTTAGTGTCAGTGAACAATGGTATGTGTTGCGTGGCTCAAACGAAATAAAAAATGGCACATGTTTATGCGGATCGGTTTCCCAATCGAGTGCAACCAACCCCTCGTGCCTTTGTTAATGTAGTACAACGGGCTTGTGAATCAGGTGACTTAAGACCTCACAGGGGACCTCACGATCAAATACAGGTCCGCACTGAAATACTTGTCGGGAGGATACTTTATAAAACAAGGTAAACATTTTTTTTTATTTTTTTTTATTTTTACACACATATTTTGGTTTATCTTCCTTCTACAATCATTATCTGAAAATTAATGACTCAACTTCAAAGTCACCCTGTATATATATATATATATAGGTGAAAAATTAAAGCTTCCGCCTTTTGTTGGGTACTTCGACAAAATTTAAGCAAAGAGGACTCTTTATACTTTATTTAATTCTCTCTAGCTATCAATGGACTTTGCCATCATCATCAGGAGCTGCAATTACAATGACAACAGTAGCAACAATAGTGTAAAATGAATTTAAATTGACTCAACTTACAGTAGTATGTGAGGATGTTGCTAATTGTTGTTTTCGTATAGGATGAGGGAAACGTCCAGTAACATGGTGAGAGCTGGATACATGGTACAATGGTTAAAATTATATAAAATATGACAAGACAGATTAAAAATTATTTAGAAAACATTAGAGCATTACGTCGTGAAGCCACTTGATGATTGTACAAAATGGTGGTCATGGAATAATGAGTGAGATGAACCTTTGACAGAAGGTCGAAGGTTGCCAATGTCTGTGCTGAAAGATGGAACGAATTGTGGGCGTGTGCCAAAACGTTGCCAAATCACTTCAGATGATGTGATTTTCAGAATGTTATGTAAGAAACTGTTAAACCGACCAGAGGCAGTTGAATAAACTATATTTTAATTAATGGGAATTTTAAATTAACAATTATTAATAAATCGTGAGAAGAGAATTATTAGATTTTGAGTGGAATGAAATTTGTTGGTGGAATCGGCCAAAACACAGATTATATGTATGGTTGTGAAAAGTCGAAATTTGGGGAGATATGTAAGTTCTCCAATTTTTCGCAGTTTAGTAAATATGAGTAAATGACACACAGTTGTTTAATATCTGTCTTTTTGTTGATACAGTTGTTATTCATGAAAATGTGGGACATTTCCAGGAATAAACGTTTGGAAAGGTGTTTTTCTTTATCAAGAACTTTGATACTTGTGTAATTCATAGAATGCCCTGTTGTGTTAACATGAGATGCTAGAGCGCATCTTTCAGGATGAAGCCTAGCATCACTTTTGTGTAATGTAATCCTTCCTTTAAGAGATTTGGAGGTCTGACCTATGTATATTTGGTTGCAGTTGTTGCAATTGATGGAGTAGACTGTGTTAGTTAAGCTAAGTAGCGGGACTTTGTTTTTCATTTTTGAAAAAATGCGGTTTATAGTGAGGACTGATTTGCAAGCAATTCGAAAGTTCAAAGGACTGCACAATCTGATCAGCTTAGGGGTCAGTTCCTTGATATAGGGCAGGACAGCAAAACCAGGTCTGGAGTCTGGGTTGGTGCTTGTACTGTTTGGATTGATGCTATTATTGGGAATTATATCAGTTCCGTTATTATTAGGGGTTGTGTGACTATTACCTGCATCATTATTAACATTATTAATAATTGTTAATTTAAAATTCCCATTAATTAAAATATAGTTTATTCAACTGCCTCTGGTCGGTTTAACAATTTCTGAAAATCACATCATCTGAAGTGATTTGGCAACGTTTTGGCACACGCCCACAATTCGTTCCATCTTTCAACACAGACATTGACAACCTTCGACCTTCTGTCAAAGGTTCATCTCACTCATTATTCCATGACCACCATTTTGTGCAATCATCAAGTGGCTTCACGACGTAATGCTCTAATGTTTTCTAAATAATTTTTAATCTGTCATTAACTTGTCTTGTCATATTTTATATAATTTTAACCATTGTACCATGTATCCAGCTCTCACCATGTTACTGGACGTTTCCCTCATCCTATACGAAAACAACAATTAGCAACATCCTCACATACTACTAAGTAAGTTGATTCAATTTAAATTCATTTTACACTTTTGTTGCTACTGTTATCATTGTAATTGCAGCTCCTGATGATGATGGCAAAGTCCATTGAAAGCTAGAGAGGATTAAAAAAAGTATGAAGAGTCCTCTTTGCTTAAATTTTGTCGAAGTACCCAACAACAGGCGGAAGCTTTAATTTTTCACCTAACTGGTCTAGACGACAATGACCACGTCTCAAGTTATATATATATATATATATATATATATATATATATATTTCGATAAATCCATGATGAGAAGTTTTCAAATGAACACCCTGAAGATATAAAGAATCACTAGATTATGCTTTTTATAGTCTCTAGTGTAAAAAATACATGGGAAACATAAAGTGACATCCTATGCGTACACCGCTCTTTTTGTGATTGGTGAGTAGATTTTCCAATTGAGTTCGAGCGTACCTCGCCGAAAGCGATACTCACCGTAATACAATTATCGTAAGCGTCTCTTACAACTTCATATTCGACTTCCTTCCATCCCTTCAGACTCTTATCGATGATGAGCTGGCTGGAATGCGCTAAGGCTTGCATGGCAAGTGTCGTCAATTCTTCGTTGTTGCTAGCGAAACCTGAACCCAAGCCGCCCAATGAGAACGCTGCTCTAGCTAGCACGGGGTAGCCCAACTGTTCAGCAGCTTTCAAGGCTTCTTGTACAGAATGGACCGCTACACTTGGCGCCACCTAGAATTGATTCGGAAGCGAACGTCATTATGTCGTATAAAGGACCAAAGTCAAAGTCGATATGACGTCTTTGTGACGTCGTTCGACGGAATGATATACCCATCAAAAATTTGAATTTTCACCGCGCTTGATTACAAATTTTCTAGTCAAACTTGATTATAGTTATACTAATAAATTTGTTGCTTATGGGAATAAAACATGATGTGAGATCGCAATTTGAAATATCTGCATGGAATTTTATTATTAGAAAAGTCGTATTAACAAGATATTTTTGGTCGAACAATTCGTGCTAATTTTTATAAATAACAATAAGTATAGTATTTGGATATCCACACAGTGTTCGTGGATTATTGGAATACACTTTTGACTTTAGATCACGCCTCAAAAAATAAAATCGCATGGCGTGAGGTCGGGTGACCTAGGAGGCCAAACTTCGATATAACTTTTTCAGGAAAAAGTGCTTTCACCGAGTCCATCGATTCTCTGGACGTATGGGCAGTGGCCCCATCCTGATGAAACCATGGGTTTGTGTTGAATCGACGTTCTCTTCTTTCAATATTAGCAAAAAAGTACCAATCATGTCCTTGTATCGCTCGGAATTGACTGTCAATGCATGATCGTTTTCATCTTCCAAGAAATATGGTCCAATAATACCACTAGAGGATATTGCGCACCAAAGAGTCACTTTTGACTATACAGGGTGTCCGCAAAGTTGGGGTTTTCCTTTACACGACGTGTAGATCTTGAAAACATAAGCAATTTTTCTTAGTACCATATACACCAATGTTTTAAGGGAACCGAGATAAAGGGCTCTGCAACATCAAAAATATCTGAATACCGTCCTGTAGCCGCGACCCGCCGCGATATCCCAGACTGGTACCGGCTAGTAGCTGAACCCGACGACAGAACTGGGTCGGGGGTCGGGGTCAGTGTGTCAGGTCAGTATGCAACCTTCAACCGACGGTAAAGGGTCACGCGTATAGAGGTAACGAACCCGTATAATCGATTGCGTTTCAAAAAAAAAATAATAACGGCACATTCATACACCAATAATGAACTCGTTGATATGTTGTTAATTTATGGCGAATGTCTTCAAAATGCTACAGAATCGTCGCGAGTGTATGCAGATCGTTTCCCTAGACGACATCATCCAAGGCCCCGCAGATTTGTGTACCTGGTCAGTCAGGGATACGGGCCATTTGGAGGAATTTCGAGGTGGGCACAGTGGGAGGCCTAGACAACCACGAATGGTGCAAGTTGAGGAAGAACTACTGAATCGCGTAGACGAGAATCCCTCAACAAGCACTAGAGATGTGGCTAGAGAAGTGCAAGTATCAAAAACTAAAGTGTGGCAAACGCTGCGTGAAGAGGGGCTGTATCCGTTTCACGTCCAACGTGTACAAGCCCTTCAACCTGACGATTTTCCAGCAAGAGTGCGGTTTTGTGAATGGTTGTTGCATCAACATGACAATAATCCGGACTTTTTGAAGTGCATATTGGTGACAGACGAATCTACGTTCACGCGTAATGGGGTGAATAACTTTCGATTTCAGGCAGAGACGTACTTAGCCCTTCTCGTCAACTGGAGAGTGAGTACTCTTTCCTTTATTTTTTTTTACTTGGTCGCCTTCGTTTCACTACACATTACGTTTGTTATTTCAAGGGTAGTTGTTTCTGAAAAGGAAAACCCCAACTTTGCGGACACCCTGTATAGCTGTTGTTGATGTTTCTCTTTTGGGTTCGTTGGTGCCCAATATCTGCAATTTTGCTTGTTCGCATAACCATCTAAGTGAAAATCTGCCTCGATCAGCACATGATTTCCGTAATGCGTAATCACTTTCCTTTAAATCTCGGACTGATTGGATTTTATAAGGATGAAAATCCATTGTTTTCTTCACTATGCAATGCAGTGTTGACCTAGGGATTCCCAAAGCAGCGGAATGCTTCCGTACATAACGCCGAAGATTTGCAATGGCCGTCACTTACTCGACGCACATTTTCTTTGATTGATACAGCAGGTACGAGACCAGGATTTGGTTGGCCTGTTTCACGGAGCACCTAAATCGACTTTTTCACTAGGTTCTTACTTGGGGCATCTCTTGGTCGACGAATCTTGCATCGTGTACAAAATTTCCGAAGGACAGCTGCGTATCACCACTCATAAAGTAAACATCGATAGCAAGAGCACGTTGCGCTCCGGTCCAACTTTCCATTGTGAGTATTTAACCCGCACGCTGAACGCGTCGATCAAGACCTCTCCCCACTTCCTCGCGTATTCAAATTTGAAATATGAACTTTCCCTTTGGACACCCTAGTTTGCCTTACTATTCATTAAAAGTATGTTTTTTTGAAGGTGAGCCTTTTAAAGGACGTCTTGTTGTCGTCATAAAAATGACGTCAGTAAAGACGTCAGTCGTTAGTCAATGACGTTTCCGACCAAAAGCCGCCGAACAGTGACGTCATTTTAGCGTCTTCATGTTCACTGGAAATAAACCTTCGAAGCCTGGAAAAAGTGAGTGGGTTGCGCATAAAGATTAAGGCAGGTCATGTCGATATTAGTCGCATATACCGTGTTTCACGAGTATCCATCACATAATTCTGACGGATCCGTCAATGCCAGGTAGACAGAGCGAAGATCGAGCCATATTTTGTTTTGATTTTTTGACGCTACAGATTCATTTTGTACTTTCTAAAAGCTGCATACAAAAACACAAAACGCTACAAACACGTTTTACTATGTTTACAACCGATTCATTATTGCCAGCGTTGCAGATTAACACAAAAATGTCACTTGGTGATCAGTAGACGTCAAAGCGTAATGGCACAGATTATACAGATGCGACACCTGCTGTCGGTCCCTTTGATCCTAGTGTTCCCAACTGCTTACCACATTTCCCGCTTATGCTCATCAGCGCCCGAAGGATTTTTTCCTAGGGGTTGTTACGCGTCATTAGTGTGACAAATAGCGCCATCTGTTGGGCGAATCTCCTACTCGCCAGAGCTTAAAGGCCGATCTCTGCTTTTACACGACCGCACACCCAAAAGAACCCAAATAAAACGCTAGATTGGTGTCAGAAGTGGGATGTGGATTATTGGACATTTTGTGAAAATAAATCAGTGAAAGAAGAATGGCGCGATTGGTTGATTTGAAAATTGCCGATTTAAAGAGAGAGCTGGAGGAAAGAAAGTACGGAATACGGTATAGTAGCAAAGCAGAGTGAGGTATAGTTCAGTCAATTGTGGCATAAGAATTAGTCAGACTTAAATAGTGGTGTATATAAATGTTTTATCAAGTTAAATAAATCAGTTCATTTCTTTTTGTGGAATCCAGTGTTTTAATCCACACCCAAAAGAACCCAGAAAAACGCTACATTGGTGTCAGAAGTGGGATGTGGATAATTGGACATTTAGTGAAAATAAATCGGACGATCAGTGAAGGAAGAATGGCGCGATTGGTTGATTTGAAAATTGCCGATTTAAAGAGAGAGCTGGAGGAAAGAGAGTACGGAATACTGTAGAGTAGCAGAGCAGAGTGAGGTATAGTTCAGTCAATGGTGGCATAAGAATTAGTCAGACTTAAATAGTGGTGTATATAAATGTTTTATCAAGTCAGATAAATCAGTGAATTTCTTTTTGTGGAATCCAGTGTTTTAATCCACACCTAAAAGAACCCAGACAAACGCTATATTGGTGTCAGAAGTGGGATGTGGATTATTGGACATTTAGTGAAAATAAATCGGACGATCAGTGAAGGAAGAATGGCGCGATTGGTTGATTTGCAAATTGCCGATTTAAAGAGAGAGCTGGAGGAAAGAAAGTACGGAATACGGTAGAGTAGCAAAGCAGAGTGAGGTATAGTTCAGTCAATGGTGGCATAAGAATTAGTCAGACGTAAATAGTGGTGTATATAAATGTTTTATCAAGTCAGATAAATCAGTGAATTTCTTTTTGTGGAATCCAGTGTTTTAATCCACACCCAAAAGAACCCATAAAAACGCTACATTGGTGTCAGAAGTGGGATGTGGATTATTGGACATGTAGTGAAAATAAATCGGACGATCAGTGAAGGAAGAATGGCGCGATTGGTTGATTTGAAAATTGCCGATTTAAAGTGAGAGCTGGAGGAAAGAGAGTACGGAATACGGTAGAGTAGCAGAGCAGAGTGAGGTATAGTTCAGTCAATTGTGGCATAAGAATTAGTCAGACTTAAATAGTGGTGTATATAAATGTTTTATCAAGTTAAATAATTCAGTGCATTTCTTTTTGTGGAATCCAGTGTTTTAATCCACACCTAAAAGAACCCAGAAAAACGCTACATTGGTGTCAGAAGTGGGATGTTGATTATTGGACATTTAGTGAAAGTAAATCGGACGATCAGTGAAGGAAGAATGGCGCGATTGGTTGATTTGAAAATTGCCGATTTAAAGAGACAGCTGGAGGAAAGAAAGTACGGAATACGGTAGAGTAGCAGAGCAGAGTGAGGTATAGTTCAGTCAATGGTGGCATAAGAATTAGTCAGACTTAAATAGTGGTGTATATAAATGTTTTATCAAGTTAAATAAATTAGTGCATTTCTTTTTGTGGAATCCAGTGTTTTACTCCACACGTAAAAGAACCCAGAAAAACGCTACATTAGTGTCAGAAGTGGGATGTGGATTATTGGACATTTAGTGAATATAAATCGGACGATCAGTGAAGGAAGAATGGCGCGATTGGTTGATTTGAAAATTGCCGATTTAAAGTGAGAGCTGGAGGAAAGAGAGTACGGAATACGGTAGAGTAGCAGAGCAGAGTGAGGTATAGTTCAGTCAATTGTGGCATAAGAATTAGTCAGACTTAAATAGTGGTGTATATAAAAGTTTTATCAAGTTAAATAATTCAGTGCATTTCTTTTTGTGGAATCCAGTGTTTTAATCCACACCTAAAAGAACCCAGAAAAACGCTACATTGGTGTCAGAAGTGGGATGTTGATTATTGGACATTTAGTGAAAGTAAATCGG